TATATGCGAAGAATAGAGGCGAATGCACACAGTAACTTTCCCCAATCTCTGCCCTAGCACAGAATGTGGAGAAGCTGCCTCTGAAAAATAGGACCTTTGGGATGAGGTCCCTACACTCACACCTTCCCTCCATCCTTGCAAATATCAAGTCTGGTGCCCGAACATTTTCTTGCACTGGGATATTTTCATTCTGACAACCAGTCAAGAGGTGATTATTTCCCAGCAGCATTTCTAGCCCTGCTTACCACAAGGACTAACAAGTATCTGCACCAACTGCAATGCTTTTTCCAAGTTAATATCATATATGCTCAGCTGTGCAGCTTGATAGTTTTAGATCCTAGACAGAATGGTCTTATGGGGGGCCCCTTTAGATATCCGTGTGTGTTACTTCAGCTGTGAGACACATGCTTCTGTACTCCCAACTGCTTCTGTATTTTTGATATGTTACAGCCACAACAAAACTGTTTACTGGTACGTGCATTCTTGTGTTCTAAACCAGTCCTCTTATTGTGCCATCCTGACTACAGGAATAAAATGCAGTTTGCTTCTGTACCAGCTGCTCTCTCTAGGCTCCTGGGCTTTGTGGCCCTGGACCTCGACCTCAAGGCCTCGGCCTAGCTGCATTCTTTTTCTGTGGGCTGAATCCAGCGGGGCGCTTAAATCTTTGCCGAGTCCCTTCCACCCCACTGCAACCCTTCCGCAAAGGGTAGTTCCCACCAATTCCATTGTGCAAGCACAGAGAATTAGCACTTCCCAGAGGAAACCCCTAAGCAAGCATTTCAACTGATTTCAGATTACTCTGGAAGCGCTAATTCGACACTGCACCAGTGGTGGGGCTGCTTGCGCAACAGAGCAGGCAGCATGTCAGAGACTTAGCAAAGCATTAGTGTCCCATTGGAGCCTGCCCTGTGGAACTCCTTTTTTCCCCATGTCACATCCCCCTTCTTGTTTGCTCTTCCCCGGCTGAAACCGGAACTGGCACCCTGCCAGTGCTATTACTTGTATTTGATTAGATCCTTGCTTCTAACTAATTGTGCATCATACCTGTAATAAATCCTAAGAGCATATTTATTGGTGCTGAAAAGACTTTTTAAGAAGAAGAGGGGACCGCACTGTGCTGAAAGTTCTCCACATTTTTATCAAGCATTCTCATTCAACTTGATAGAGAAGAAATTGCTTTCAAAAGACATTCAAGGAAGAAGAAAATAGGATCAGGTTTCTTGTACTTACTCAGATGAGGAACTGGCTGAGGAATGTGCACAAGTGTCCCATCTTTCATTGTACAATCAGGTCTCTTGCAGCCACTAGTCTCTGCAGCTTACTGCATTTCAATTAAAGCCCAGGAGAAAACATTACGAAGTAATTCTTTTTCGGATCAGGAAGTTCTGGTAGCCTAGAAGGGTGCAGAGCAATGGAGAGGTGTGCTTTGAAAGAGCACACACAACAACACAGCTCCTTCAGCTGCCTTGCAGTCAGTAGGTGTGCTCAAAACCTCCACAGAATTGCAAGATAAAATTCCTGAAAATGAGGCAGAGTAATGGGATCCTCTTTCATGGGGAATAAAACTTCCTTGAAGCTACATCAGGAAGGTGGAGACAACAGGGCCCTTCCACACCTGTGTTATGGTGATGCAAAGGGAGGCTAAGCTGCCAACACAGATGATGCTGTTGCTGATGGCAATGGCAGAACAAAACCTCAAAATCATTAGGGGGAAGAAACCCTGTGCTATGACCATGCCAACGGAGAGGCCTACCACAGAAAAAGGAAATTTCTCCTCCAGCTGAAGAAATTCAGTGAAATTCCACCACCCAATATTTCTGCCCATAAATAGGGTAGGATCATTTCATGAGGCTATTTGCTCTTTAAAAAAAATCTTAAACGAAGGAGATTTGCAAAGGCTGGTAAGCTCCCAGTTGTGCCTTGAATGTATCTTTATCAAGGGGAGATTCTCATGAAAATGGCTCTCAAAAGGCCCAAACTAGAGATTAATTTAGAAGCTTTGTATCTGGGTTGGTGGATTGCTTGATAAGCATTTAATTTGGATGCAGGATAAATTCATGGTGGCTTATTATTGCAAAGATATAACAAATAAGTATTCCTTTGGACTAAATTCCTTGCACTGTTTCAGACTTTAGACTTTGGCTAAAGCTGCACTTTTGTCTTCATTGATCTAGATTATCTTGAAAACCTCAAATGTATTTACCATACATAATAATAAAGATTTTCTCTTTTACAGTGCAGCACAGTAGTCCAATTTTAGGTATCCAGCACATGGTTTGCAGTGGATAAACTGGTCCCATTCAGCCATGGAGGCCAGTGCATGACGTTGGGCCAGTCACAGACTCTCAGCCCATCCTACCTCACAAGGCTGTTGTGCAGATATGATTGAGAGCATGAGAAGGAGAAAGATGTAAGCTGCCTTGAGTTCTTTGGAAGGAAAAGAGAGGGGTATAAATATAATACATACATAAGCAAGCAGCATGCTTCTAATAGCAATAATGAATCTCAGCACATCTCTCAAGTTGCATACCTTTCTTTCCTCGAGAGCCAACCCCAGGCAGGACAGGTGAACTCATTGCGCACCTGTCTTCCCAGGATGCAGCTTGCTGTGCCTCACCTTGTCCACTAAGCACTGCTCTAGCTCACGCACAGCCTCTCCCCGTTCAGATGCAACGGAGAAGTGGAGCTGGGTGTCACCAGCAGACTGCAACGCCTTGCCCAAAACACCAGTGGCCACGCCCAGTGGTTTCCTGTATATGCTAAGCAGCATGGCAAACAAAATTGTCCTTCATGGCAGCTCCACATCATATTTTTCACACCAATTATTATGATGTGATATTATTTTTCCCAGTCACATTTTTATTTTAAGAGATATACACCATATAGTCGCATTATGAATATCCGCAACAATACAGTTACTAGAATAAACTGTTAAATGCACTGCTTTTGTGCTATTAAAACCTTACTAGTCCAGAAATCAAGGTCCATGAACCCCATCAAGCCCTTGGAAATACATCAAGAATGGATACCAGATTCTAACAAAATCATCTCTCTTTCTTTCTCCTCTAGCCAAACAAAAATGGGTGGTCAGCTTTTTTATCAATGCCATTCACCATATCCTATCAAGGTATTTCCTAAATAAAAGACCTTGAGCATCTTTCCAAAACCTTGCAATCTTGTCTCTCATGACTCCCGAAAGTACCACCAACAGTTCTTTACAATTCAGTCCTTCATTTACTCCAATAATCAATGAAAAAGTAATAGTGTCCCTAGGAGTTATTGTTTGTTTTGTTAGCTTAGGCAACCAATGATGTGATATTAGGACAATGTGCACATGGCAAGGCGTTCTGTTGTTGCAGTATTTCTTCCTCAGCTGCGTCTTCTGAACCAGCCTCAAAGCAGCCCCAGACAGAGAGCACAAGATGATATTTTGCATGCAGTCAAAGTTCCTCTCTTCTAATTCTGAAATCTGGATTCTCCCAATGCAATGGTTGCACAATAGGCTCAAGATAAGTGAAAGGAAGGATTGGTTAAGGGTGTGCCCTGAAGACAAAAGGTGGTTTGGACCCTGCGTTGGAAAAGACCCTGATTTGTCCCAAGTTGCTCGTCCCATTGTGGGTCTGAATCTGAACCACACCTCAGAAAATCTGGAGCTTCATGGGTCTCCCTGTTGACTCCAGTGGATCGAGTAACCAGCAGCACTAACATTTTTGCTTACTGGCAGGATGGGACGGAATGCAAAGGTATAGGAGCCTTTTGTAGGTGATGTTGCTTGTCCGTTTTCAGACAAACAGGCACTGCACTTTTTCTCCAAGTATAAGCCTTAAAGAAACCTTCAAAACAAGATAACAGGGTCGCATGTAGGAGTGCAACCATTATTGCTTGGCAGCAAAGAAATGAATTTGAGAAATCTGCAGGGGGAAAACAGGTGATTCATTAGCTTTGGCCTTTCCTGGCTCTTCCTTAATGCACCTACACCAGCGACATCACTCCATAGCTCTATGTACCTCTACTCTATATCTGAACCTTGAAAGAGAGCATAAAATTATGACCATCTATATTTTAGTGTGGTGGATGGTGTGTGCATAGCCGTGCTATGCCTGTACACATGACACATCATGTAAGTCTCATGTAAAGATGCTGTCATAGAAGGATCCGTTGCAGAGGTAAGCAAAGTGACGCCCTTCAGAGATTTGCATCACAGCTGCTATCATTCATCACCATGGGCTGAAGCTTATGGGACATATAGTCCAAAACAGCTGGAGCAAACCCAGTGGCTACCCCTGAGCTGCTGCAATGCTCAGTAAGGCTGTCACCGGGAAGATGGTGGGAGGTGGAGCAGGGGAGGAGCCGGGGGAGAAGTGTAGCTGGGACCAAAGCCTGCAAACACACCTGGAGCCCAAAGGAGAGGCCACTCAGTGGCCAGATCCGCTGCCGTTGCCTGGGATCTCGGCTGCCCCAAGCACTGTGGGGCACTGCACTGCAAGTGGAAATTCTGCATGGGGTCAGGCCTTAACCCGGGCAAGCTGTGTTGGCTCAGGGTTACCTATGCCTGTGGTTATTTGGAAGTGACCAGAGTGTGGCCAGCTGTATTAGCATATTCATCCTGATCCAAAGCTTTAGCTGGAGAGGTTCCTAATGTATAAAATCTACTTTCTCACTCAGTTGTGCAGTCCTGTGATGGTAATAAAACAGCCACAGAGGGAAAATATTGTATGTGAAAGATGTCCAGGTAGGGGTCATATAGACTGTGGCTGGATAAGGAGCCTTGGGGTCCCGTTTTGGCCCCCATGCCTTCTGCACACCTTCTGCTGCCTGAGCAGCCGTGCCTCTCGCAAAGAGTCTCCAGGACTCTAACCTTTGGACCTTTTGTAATTTGCTCTGAACTTTCTAAACCGTTTGGCTCAGCTGCTTTCCCAGGGACTATTTAAAGGCCGGTCCAAGTAGGGGTGCTCAGTCTGTCTTTGGTGCGAGGCTGGAAGGAGAAGAGCAGAGAGAGGAGCAAGGGTCCCTTGCTCAAAATGAGGGCCCCGCAGCTCTGGCTGCTGCTGCTGCTCAGCACTGGTGCCTGGACACGTAAGTAGCACCTCACCTTGGCGTGGGGGAACACCCCTTCCTCTGCTCTTTTACTCGGGAAAACCCTTAGATAATCTCATGCTACATCTAGGCGGCTTAGACAGGAAAGAGAGCCGAGCAGATTATGATTATGGAATGGAGCCGTCAGGAATCTGACAAGTGGATCTGTGGAAATCTGTGGAAATCTGCTCTGTGGTACCAGCTGGCTGATTGCACACCCTACGCACAGTTAGTGTGGTGGGACTTTTCTCGGGCTGGATGCGTTAGTGTGGCACCTGTTCACCTTCAAGAAGAAGACTGAGCTGAAGCAGCCAGTTTGCCCTGCTGTGACGTGACGGGATGGACAGGTCAACAGGATGGTCCTTGGTCATTTAAATAGCTTGTTTAGGGCTGCTGTTTTTTAAAGATGTGTATCGAGGATGTTGTTTCCAGGGTTTCCGTTATGGTTTCTGACATTCTTTTTCACACACACACGGGGGCGGGGGGGGGGGAGAGTTCCCCAATGTTTAGAATTTAAAAATCAACACCTATTGACTCGAACATTTACTGTAATAAATACTGAAATTCCATCCCTATACCAAAGGAAACGGAGAGACAATCTTAGAGACTCTTCTTTCAGAACATGTCTCTAGACATTGTATTATTCTGGAGCCAAGCATGCATCACTTCGGCCTCCGAGGGCGTTCCAATTCTAAGTTGCCAACATGCAACTTCAGATGTTTTGGACTATCCATGGGCAATAGTCAGGAATATGGGGCGCTGTGGCCCAAATATCTAGCAAACACCAGGTTAGGGAAGGCAGTATTAGACTCAGAGCACCATATTTAGGACCAATTTAAGGCTGTGAATTCAAGCAAAAGTCTCTAGGTTTCAGGATGGTGGTGTTTGCACATTAACCGCAAGCACTTTTTCTCTGGCTGGAATTCCATGGATTTCAAGGGGCATTGAGTTTCTAGGTAAGGCAGCTCTGGAACTTACGCCTGAGTAGACCAAGTATGAAGTTGTGTTGTTAGTGCATGTATCACCGAGATTTCAGTTGACTTCAGTGGAGCCATATTGGTTGGAGCAATATAAGCCCATGCAGTTGCCTCTGAGTTCAATTTGCTTTTGTTTTTTTCATGGCTTTGCATATGGTCCCTCACAGATGGTCTCCAACTAATGTAGCACTTTGCATTCTTCCCCGCCAAAGAGAATAACAGTTTAGCACTGGAACTTCCACTTGGTTGTGAAATGTTTAAACTTGTCCTCATTGTAATTTATTGAATTTTCTAGAATATTGATGTAGATTTGTCTTCGCTCTGTGTGTGTGTGTGTGTGTGTGTGTGTGTACAGATGTACTGTACAAATGGATTATATGAAGAATTTAGTCAGAAAAGCCTATGGTGATTTATATGTACCTCCTTATTTTAGCAACATTCTCCTTGAAAGAGAAAATTTAAGAACACTCTCTCCTTTTTGAAGCAGTCATTTTCTCATTAGTCTGAGCCAGAATGTAGATCTTGAAGGTATTAGCTAAGATGATTTGCAAGAAATTCACTTGCACCAAGTTTCATTTCTTAATGGTTTATGTTCTTCTATCATTCACAAGTACAAGAGATGATGCCAGTTATTAGCAAAGAGAAAAACGAGTCAAAGAAGCCTTCAGTCCACAAATTTGAGGAGCTAATTCCAGATAGAACACTGCCTTTGGACTGTAAAGTCAAATACACAGCATGTTTACGAAGAGGCTCTACATATAATGGGAACCTTAGTTGTCTTTTTGGTATTTTTTTGTATTTCTGAGCACTTCAAAAAAGCCATTAATCTGACACTTGACTACATACAATAGCAGCCTGTGGGTATTTATTTATTTTTTTTCCATGCAACCCAATTTAGGAAGAGAGATCCTCAGGTTACAATCTTACATAGTCTGTCAGTGACAAGATGAAAGGTTTGTGGTACTCTTGCAAAATCTGTCCTTAGTACACAACTGGGTGGTTCCTTATGAACTGCCTTTCTGGTTGCTGTATTGGTTCCAAATATATTTCCCTATTGTTGCTGGATAATAATTGGTCTAAGTTTTCTAGAAAGGAACCAACTAATTCCATTTTAATTTTATTTTACAGATGATGAGGGGTCTGAAAATACAAATACTATTTGTTCAAGTAAGTTTTTCTCTTCCTGCTGCTTACTTAAAACACCCGTTAAGCACATTCTTGGTTTTGGAGCTTACAGAGCGCTCATGACCGTGTGTTGCAGAGTGGTATCTACCGCATTTTATTTAGATGTACCGTCATCTCACCTGACTCAAACTCAGCAGCTCATATTAACAGCAGAGGCAATTTAGGCACAGTGCAATCTATATATCACTTTGATTGCAAACTGATGGTCACAAAAGCCTCTCTTCTTTCTTCCCTGAGCCGGTGTTTCACTATTTAAAAATGGATTCTGATGGAGGGGAAAGATGGCAACTACAGATAGACATTTAATCAAATAAATATAGATGCAGTATTTTAACCATGAAATCTGGGGCAGCCCATTGAAGCCTGGGAGGAAGGCAAGAGAAGCTACCAAACTAGCATATTTAATTTGTTGCTACTATATCAGCCAAACACACAGTGACATTGGAGGACAGGAATACCTGCTCAGGCTGCTGGAAAAAATGCTGCACGCACATCTGTATTCCTGAGACCTTCCTCGAAAAGTTGTCCAAATTGTTTGCATTAATTCTGGAACCCTAACTCAAGCAGAAATTATTAACTTTGTCAACTGCAAGGCAGATCTGTTGCATTATGCATGATTGGGAAAAGGAATGACTGTGGTCTTGGTACTCAGAGTTCACTTTATCTTGCGTTGCTGTTTGGTGCATGACTTTCAAGGTTATTCCTTTGCAGGCGCAGGCAGAACCAGAGAAATTATATAAATTTCATGGCAAACGATGCAACTGACTGAACTGTTTACCTGCTTCTTAGCTAGTGCTACTCCTAATTTTCATTTCTACATACATGCATGTTAAACTAAACTAAACAGTCAAAGCATCTTTTACCTTGACATCCAAGTAGGAGATCTGTGCAATGCAACTCAGTTCTACACGCTGTGTAGGCACTGCCAACCTGGCCCCTGTGTGTATGACACGAACAACTCTGGGCAGGTGCCTACCACAGACAGCTGTATGCGTGTAAGGCCCCCTCTTCAAATATTTTCCCAGAATCTGCAGGCAATTATGTAATATGCACGATGCCAGGGCATGACTATGTGATGCAACAAGACCCTGCTGGCTGTTGTGCTAAGATAGGAGTTGGTTTGTTCTCTGTGAATGTCTGACTTGGACTAGTGAGTGGGTTAGATCCAGACTTAGTCAGGCTTATGGTAGGCACAGTGAAATCAATGGAACAGGTCAATCATGCCAAAAGCAGGTTGCATAGATTTCAAGAGCTTTAAGAATGACTATGTCTGGGTCTAACTTCATTATCTGAAACTTGATACATTTTTATATTCCCTCCTGTATGCTGCTAACCCCAGACTTTATTTTGGAAATAGAGTTGGGTACAACCCATGTGGCCTCTTTTTAATTATTCATCACCGGACCTGTGCTCATTTGAGCATTGTTGCCCCAGTATATGTACTGGTATAAGTTTTAATCTCTGTCGCAATCACCAAATGATCGGTTTTAAACAGCTAGTTTTACTATTTTATTTTTTTATCCCAAGGTTGTGTACTTACAGATGCTGATCTGTAGAGCCTGCATTAATGCATGCAATGTAGACAGAATCCAAAATTTCAGTGGGGTCTTTATGTTCCCACTGATTTCTTACACACTGCCAGATTCTTTGCACAAGCAGCCCTGACTGTTTGCACAACAGCAATTTAGCCCTTTCCAAGCCACCCAAAATGAAATGCTTGTGTGTAAGCTGCGAAGCCCGCTTAGGCAACAGAATTGATGGGACACACCATTTACGGAAGGAATCCATGTGGCATGAAAAACTTGATGGAGGCATAAGCACGTCATTGGATTCTGCCCAAGGAAAACTGAATTTCTAAGATCAAATGGTGCTTGAACATCCATCTGAACTATAAGTTAATTATAAGACACTTTTTGAATGCTTGAAAATTCAATGGAAGTTGACAATAACCTATATCTGATTGTCAGCATCACTTGTGTATCTACAAAAGCAGGGGAATATATCTGTTTTCAATTATTCATTTTGACATTTGCCAAATTCTAGATGTTCGTTCTAACACAGACATACAGAACTGGCTTGAGACTAAATTACAGATAGGGTGACATGTTAAAAAGAACGAAAGATCAGGAAGTGTTTATGAACAACCTTTGTGAAATACTTTGTTTGTCCCTGACTGCTTGACTGGATACATGGTGTTCATCTTCAGGGTCAAAGTATACCCCGAGTTGTTTTCCTCCTGTCCACTGATGATAAGCTCAATTTTCTCAGAAACAGTACTTTAGCACCATCTAGAGACAGCCATAACTAAGTCACTTTTTCAGCACAGCCCAGGAAAAAGTTAAGCATTTTTCCAGAACATCTCAATTTTATCGTATTTGCTCTGTCTATATGCCTTTGCAATATGCATAGACACACACGATTTCACAGGAGTTAAACCCAAATTTAAGCATATATAGTCATCAGGACAGTGACACTAACAGTGAGCAGAGCAATGATGGGGGTGGGCGGGAAGGAGTATTGCCTTGTAGGAAACAAGAAATATGGTCATTCCGCTGGAAAAACATTATGCAATAGGATTCATATGATGTCTTTATTCCCAAGATACTTGGTCCTGTGGGCTTCTTCAGGGTTAGATATATTTCAGCATCAATTTAGTCACTAAAACAGATCAGTTGCTTGGCTTCATTTAGTTATCCATTTGTATCAAGCAGCTTATCGAGACAGAGGCCTTGGACCAGAGATTCTTTTCTCCAGTGGTGGGTTCCGTGCTACAAAAGAGTCTGGCAAGCTGGTCAGATGGCGAGAACTCAGCACTCCTTGGGGAGAAATGAATTGCCTGGAAGGCACTTCCCTCCATCAGGGCCGGCTCCAGTTTTTGGAGCCAAGGTATCCTCAGTGCTCCTCACTCCCTCACGGAATGTACCTGCCATGCCCGTGTCCTAAGTGCTCCTTCTCACCTTTCTCATCACGAGTGAGACAGTGGGTGAATATACAAGGGTATCTGCAGCTGTTCCTTCTCATTATCTCCATGGCTTGGGCCAGGACACAGGGTGAGATGCAGTGCGCGGTGGGGGAGAGGGGACAACTTCCAGGAGCCATTGTCCACTGTGGACCGTGATGAACCTGCCAAGAGTCCTTTCTTCTGTGTTGGGAGGTGCGGTCCACGTCTATGGATACGTGAGCCTGGATGATCGCCGAGAACATCTAGGCTGGTTGTACATTCATATTTATCGAGCCAGCATGGTGTAGCAGCCAAATCGTCTAACTAGGAGCACAGGGATCCAGGTTCAAATCTTTACACAGCCATGGAACTCACCGGGTGACCTTGGGCCAATGGGTGGCATTCCCAGCTTAAGCTATTTCACAGGATTGTTGCAAAGATAAAAGAGAGTGGAGGCCGCCTGGAATGCTGTAGAAGACAAATGATGCATGAGCAGCACACATCATCATAAAGCTATTTCACATAACACAGAAACATTGCCTCAGCGCAATATAAACTTTATGAAATTAACCAATATTCGTAAAATTGATATGTATTTTAAGGTAAGAATCCAACACTGAGAATTTCTGTGGTTTCCTCATTCAAGCTTTGGGCTGCATCCAGCTGCATTGAGCATGAAATAAACTGTCAGTTGAACAGCTAGGTAAAAACTCGAGTAAAAACTTATGTACATATTCTGCTGTTGGAAACAAAATTCTACATTAAAACATGTTCTTTGTGAGAGGCTTGTCTGTGTGTGTGCAGGTGTGCATACAAGGCTTCCTACAAAAGGAAAATAGCGGCTTGCCCTCCCAAAAAGAAAAAACCCTCTAGATGTTTGCTGTTAATAAGAATCATTTATATTGTGTGAGTTTTCCCTCGAATGCTTCAGTGATTTAAATATAAACAATTATATGCAAAAGTTAAGATGTGCAAACATACTTACTTGTTTGTTTCTTGTAGGAGAGGCCACCAGGTTTAAGCACATGAGAAATTATGTCTATCTCTATGAAGTGGATACGGCCAGTGGAGTGACGGGAACAGCAGGGTCCTACTTTGGCTCAAAAATTAACTGCAAGGTAAGAAAAATGAAAGCGCAAGCCCAAGTGGAATAGAACGGACTGACTTGTGGACCTCGTACCTGCAGGGAAGTTTGTACAAACAGCACTCTGGTGAATGGGAAGTTGCCATTCGAGGCCGGGCTGCCCACCTCCCAGGGAAGAAGAATACCATTGTTGCTACTGCTGTTTAAGATGGCTGACCATTGGATCAAATTCCCTTAGCAACTTTGTCTGTTTCAGCTTGCTCTGCTTATTATAGTTGTTTTGCTAAAAACCTCTCTCTCTCTCTCTCTCTCTCTCTCTCTCTCTCTCTCTCTCTCTCTCAAAAAAGATGGCTGACTGATGGGCCTCATTGTATTTCTATCCCAAAATAAATGCCTTAGGGTGGGCTCTGTTATGTTATTATGCTAAAATAGATGCTTTAGGAATCCATGCCTGTTCTTGATGGAACAATTGGCTGTACAGAATCTGGATTACTAAAATCTCATTGCCTACCATATCTTATCTCCCTCATCCCAACTTTTCACTATGCTAGGCCTGGCATCTATACGCAGAAGTTTTGCTTTAACACACAGTCTAACAGGGTGGGCAGGTGCCATCCTTTGCAGAGAGTGGGGCTCTGTCTGCAGGGCTTCCCTGTCCAAATTCTGTTTCAAGGTAAAGAAGCAGCAGGACAAAGGAGGGCCTTGAGCAGTGAGCACCTGGGCATGTACAGAAGTCAATCTCCACTATGGGATCATGTATGGCATTTCTATTTTAATTATTACGCTCCCTTCAAAACCCTATGAATTCAAATATGCTTTCAACAGGAGTCTAAGCCATTTGCTACGTAATCTACAGGCATATTAATTCAAGCTTAATGTGTTGAAAAAGAAGGCAATAATCTAATTTATATGCAAGAGCATCCCTATTTTTCGTGTCTCAGGCCCAGTTCTCACATGACAGTGGTGCCAGTTTTTGCGATGATGTGCATTTGGGGAAGTATGAATTTGTGCAAATTTCCCTGAAAAGTTTTTTAAAAACCCTGGTCTTCATGTTGACAGATTCTGAATCAGAAAAAGACAGACCACCACAAAATCCAGAGTGCAGATTCATTGAAATGTGACCTCGTCTGAACCTTTTGCAGATTTCTCAGACATCTCTATTTCCTACTCAGCCATTCTTTCACTTAATTTGTTGCAGGGAATCCAAAGGCTGCATGATTAAGATGTTAACATACCTCACCTCCTTTTCTGTTTCAGGTTGAGCTGGAAGTCCCACAAACATGCCATTACACCATGAGGACAAGCCAGTGTACCCTCCGAGAAGTTTCTGGGGTTGATTCTGAAGGAAGACCTTTGCTTAAAGAATCAAAGAACTCAGATGACTTTGCTGCTGCCATGTCCCAGTAAGGAAATTGGACTTAAGTTACTTTCTGTCAGACCTTAGTTCTCAGTGAAATGACCCAATAATTCTTGGGGATGAGTACGAGTTGAGTGTGACTTGTTGATTGTTGCCGAAACAAGTCTGCTGCATTGTCTGTACCTAGCTGAGATAACAAAACATGGTGAACAACCAGCTGTTCAAAACCCGACAACGAACAGTGGGTTCTCTTCATGGATTGCTTGCAGTTAACAAGCCATGGCTTGTTAGGGCAGCCAGGTTTGGACAACATGACAATCTGTTTCAGCAACCCACTCTCAACCCAAGCTCAGCTTGTATGTGGGTTCTCCTGTTGTCTGAACTCCACCCTAAATAACTAGATCCTAGAGCAAATCTAAATACACATATGGTTTTAACAACAGATACATAGTATTGTCCATAAAAATGTTTTTAATTCATCCTTTGGGCATTTGCTAGTTCCAGGCTGAGTTGTTGCGGTGTTAAGTGAATTGCAATGTAGCCAACCAGCCTTCATCCAGTAGCTTGCTTCTCACCAGGATCCTGGTGCACAGCACAGGGTTTGTAGAAGCTCTTGACATGCCTGTGCGATGGGGATGGATGCGTGATGCCTACTTGGTGGGCAGGGTTCATTTAACTGGAGATGGCCGGATGCCCCCTTAGCACTGTAGCCAGCAGAAGTTGGGTGCAGGTAGGGCTGAGTGAGGTAGGGGAAGTGGAGTACTGTGCTAATCAACGCTGTAGTATATCAGCACTGTATAGACCAACTGCAAATATTGTGTGTGTGTGTGCATGTATGCTGTATAGACGAAGCTAGCTGAGCGGTGTTACGGCAGCTATGATACCAAAATGGGGTTACTGAGAAATAAAGAAGAGCTATCTGCTTGCTTGAAGCAACTCCAGAGTTTGCAGGAATATAATAAAATATTGGGGATGATGACCCAAGAGGAGAAAAACGGCCTCAGGTAGTCCAACAACAGCTGATCATGTTCAGCAGCAACAGAGCACTCCCCATTGGGCAGAAGAGCAGGCGGAAGGGGCAGTGGCGTATTCTGGAGGAGGGTATGGCTGGCTGATCTGAAGAGTGACCAGGAGCACCCACATTTTGTTGCAACTTCCGTGTGTTCCATGTGAATATGAAGCACCATTTTTCTTTCCATAAATGCCATATGTGTTTGTCTGGGGCAGGTCTGATCTGAAATTCAGTATTCAAGATGGGAAGCATGTCCAGCTTTATCCTGCAGACAATGAACCAACACACATTCTCAACATCAAGAGGGGCATTATCTCTGCTCTTTTAGTGCCAATGGAGACCAGCAGTGACCAACAACTCTCCATGGTAAGTGGGGTGCTCCTCAAACTTCCTATTTTCTTTATGTAATTAAAGCTGGTTGAGAAGCCAAGACCAGGTGCCTGTACCAATGCAAAAGCTATCCTTGGATCATCAAGGAAGCATTTCAGCTGGACGTCAGTTGATTTTGGAAACACAAATAGAAGCTGATACTTTCCTCCTCCTAGGATACTATATATGGAAAATGTGACAGCAATGTTGAGATACAAAACTGGAAAAGCAACCCAGCTGCCTCAGCCGACATTGTGATCAGCAGGAACCTGAAAAACTGTGATAACTTCAGCTCCATCAGAGATCATGTCAGCCCAGTTGCCCTCATTAAAGGGTTGGTGAGTAGATGGGCCACGATACGAGTAGCAGAGCAGAAGGGCGTGCTGGTTCAGCACAGCGTCCGTTTCTTCCAGCCGTCAGCTCACATGGCAGCCAACCAGCTGCCCACGGGAAACCCACGAGCAGGTCATCAGTGCAACAGCACCTCAAGCCCATGTTTCCCAGCAAGGGGTGCACATAGGTCTGCTGCCTCTGAGACTCTGATACTTCAGGGCTAGTAGCTTTTGACAGTCCGGTCCCTGGGAAATTGTCCTGCTCAGCTGCATTTGAGGTGATTTGGACACCACAAACGGTCCCGTGCCATCACCTTCACAGGCAAACCTTGTCTTCCAACTTTTCAGCACACTCTGATGAAATCTCTTCCCAGAGTGGTAAAACCAGTGATCTGAACCTTATAATGACCAATCACAATTCACAATGTGATAACACAAGTTTCTAGATCACACAGAATCTTTCTCAGTCTGCATGTTGAATTTAAAAACAAACCTAAAAAGGAAGGGTGAGACGATGCTTCTGGCAGAAGGCACGCTGTTAAGCCTAACTTAACAACGATTCATTATGTGCTTTGTGTCACTACTGCGGTGAACTAACTCGGCCTCAATCCTCTTTGCAGAATACGCCCCTGTCCAGCCTGATAAGCAGCAACCAGCGCTGTCAATACATTATTGACTCAAAGAAAAAGCATATATCTGATGTCACCTGCACTGAAAAACATTTATTCCTGCCATTTTCATACAAGTAAGTTGCATGCCTTGTGCAACCCCTTCCTTCTTACAGACATGGTTGAAAGTAGCATGATATTTAGACAGTGCCGTGGTGATCGTGTGCCTTTCCCCTCTTGTTGCTACTTAGAAACGAGTACGGCATGATGGCCAAAGTCACGCAAACACTGAAACTTGAAGAAACCCCCAAAATCAACAACAGAAATTTTGATGGTAAGGCGTTAATGATATTATTCTCTACTTGGTCTGTTTTGTGGGTCAGAGGTAAAGCGGGGGATTTTGAGCACACTAAGAAGGGAAGAAGCACGGATGTTGGCTGCCAGGAGAGCAACACTCAGGAGGGGTGCAACTTTTGCCGAGGCAGGCTTTGCAGATCAGCCCACTGATGCTCTACCAGAAAGGATGAAGGACAGGTGTAGCTGCACAGGGCACAGTTATCCAGGACTATTAGGTTATTTACTGATGGGTAAGCTTGTTCGCTGGATCCAAGCTATCTTAATACGCATCATCCTGGGGCGCTGGAACTCATTCTTATAACCACTATTGTTAATGGTGGCTTTGTACTAGCAGCCTTCAGTGATCCCACCTTCCCAACATCTGAGCTTTACCTGCCTCCCTTTCCACTTTACCTCCAGTGCCCTTCCTTACCCTTTTCTAGTTTAGGGGTCCCCAAAGCTCAAGAGTAGAGTATAAGGGGCAGATTGGAGAGAATTATGTGCCACCATCCTGCACAGCAGTACTTTCCCCTAATACAAAGTCACCACTGGGAACAGCCCAAAGACTGCATATAAATTGTTTGTTTGCGTAAGGGATGATTCCAATGTCTCCTTCTGCAATGATGCATTTCTTTGCAGTCAATGGCCGGCTAAAGAGAGAACTGTCCTTGGAAGCTGTTGAGACCAAGTTCTCCAGGCACAGCAATGCTGTGCTGAAAGTCCTTCAGGAACTGCAGAAACTATCCGTCACCGAGCAGAACCAGAAAAGAGCCAGCCTTTTCTACAGATTTGTAACTGGCCTGAGGGGGTTGCACAATGCCACTCTGAATGCTTTGGTGCCAAAGATGATAGAAACTTCCAGGTACTTTATCAAAAGAACTTGTGTAAATTGGTTAGCATGAACAGTGAAAGCAAACAAACTGGATGCTAGACGTTCGCCCCGTGACACCACTGGGCAGCCAACAGCAGCCGCTCGGGTGTTGCAAGGAAAGACAAGCTTGCGTGTGCCAGAAAGAACAGAGGGAGCAATAAGGTTGGGAGATGTTGTCCTCAGAGAAACCCTAGGCCACAGGGGAGGCTTGGGAGCCAAATTTGGCCCACTTGGGCTACCAAACCATCCCTCCAGAGCTCTGCAGGTGGCCACAACAGTGTTTCCCCCAACTACCCATCACTGGGTCCTTTCCTGGCTTTTGCAGTGTTTCCCCACTGGCACTAAGAGTTTTAAGTTGGGTGGTGGTGGTGGTTGTTTTGCAGGGGGTCGTATTTCGGCATGCCTTTGACTGACTTTGCCCCACCCTTTTTTACCTGTGGTTCCACCTACCACTGGAATATAGTCCCCTGTAGCTGCTCTGAAATGGAGTTCAGCTCTCCGGCTGAATACAGCCCAGCAGTCCAGTCCTAGGCAGTATTTCTCAACCATTTCAAAAACAATGAACTTCTAATCTGATTTTCCCTAAGAGCTAGGAAATCGACTTCAGGCATCCAGTATGGAACCATAGCTTTTGGTATCAAAATGAAAGGAACAATCCTATGCCCCGAGACTTGGTATGGGCTGGGATGGGGGCATGGGGCCATTTGGATTTCCAGCTGCAGGGCTGGTCACTGCACCCTGACCATGAACCTGGAAGATGGTGTTCCAACCCCCCCGCTCCCCTCACCACTGGCATGGAAAGGATCGTGATGGTTGTGCTCTGATGGCTTTCCTAAAAGCCCCAGAATGTGCAATCCTTCCTGGTTTTCCTTTCCTGGTCTTGTCTAAGGACTGCACCAATAATCTGCAAGCTGCCACATCTTTTTTTGCCTTGAGCCATGCCGTTGATAAGTATGTGGCCAGGCCTAATCTGGCCCACCCCTCCTACTTGCTAAGCTCCACTGCCTGGAAGGAGAGAAGCATCCTCAGTGCCAGTGGGAGGACAATCGGCAAGATGGGGGACCCCTTTATCTCTGAATAAAGCATGAGTCATTAACGACATGAGTCATCGCATTGACTTTCCTGAACTCTTGGTGCTTTGAGTCCTTTGTGCTTTGAGTCCCCGTTTTGTAAGGAAATGAGAGCAATGTGACAGCAAGCTGGTAGAGACTGGGAACCGTGCCATCAAATCCTTGCTCAATCATGACATTCACTCAGGGCCTTGAGTCACTCACGTCTCTCAGCCAAGCCTCCTTGACCAAGCTGTTGTGAAAAAGGGGCAAACCCACGTAAACTTGCACAAGATTTTGGGGATCTGAGATATATCAAGACCACCTTGCAATTCTCGCATCGGGGCCTTTAGGGAGGTTCTGTGTTGCATTCTTGTTGCCATCTCAGGTTTGCCAAACCAGCCAGGGAAGCTAAATGTCTATAGAAAGGGGTCTAATGCGCATTCTGAAAGGTGAACGCTGATAACATGGACAGAAAGGGAACCGCAAGTGATTGATGGAAGGTTGCAAAGTGGGTTGGGTGTTGATGATGCCACAGAAGCGCTGCTCTGGATGCACCCTCAAAGCAGCCCTGAGGTTGGCTTGTCTCCCTTTCTAGCCCCATCACCATTCAGGCCCTGGCCCAGTGTGGAACCCCAGAGTGCTTTGGAGCCATCCTTCAGGTCATGAGGACCAGCAATGTTGATCCAGTTGTGGCAGATGCTGTTACATACACCTTGGGATGGCTTCCTTCTCCGTGCACCAAAAGGATACGGGAAATCCTCAACATGGCCAGACACTACCAGAGCCGGCCTTCTTTTTACGCCTTGAGCAATGCAGTCAATAGGTAAGTGACTAGTGGATGTACTTTTGGCAGGGAAAGGATTTTCTAGGGGAAACAGTGAGAAACAGCCTTCCCCAAATAAGCCCCCTCCAGATGGGCTGGACCACAGCTCCCATCATCCCCAGCAAAGTTTCTTGTTGGGGATGATGGGAGCAATGATCCAGCCCATCTGGAGGGAGCCAGGTGGAAATAGGCTGATACAAATGCAGTATTAAGGTATAACCAAGTATAACTTAATAAAGACTGCAATCTTTGATCATCTAACTGGTTGAATTAAAAGTATTATAAATGTTTTCACTGACTGAAAAAGTTAATTCCTGATTCCTTGAGCAAAACAATTTAATCTATTTAAATTGATTAAAACTGGAAACTGAAGCAGCATTCCCCCATGCCCTTACAAAGGTGGGAATGTCTCTTCTAGCCATCACTGCAATATATACATTCAAACAAAAAGAAGTATGAATTTCTCATCAAAAGTATTGTTTTAATCATTTGCAGTTTTGTGCAGATTGAATTGATTCATCAGTTGAAATTTACTCGGTGTCTTCATTTGAACATTGGCTATATTTGTACTATTTTATTCAGCTCACCCAGAATTCGACATTTGGGGCAGGGGCAGAATCATTAAAAAAAAAAATAAATCTCCAATACAGAAAAGGAACTAGTTAAGGGGTGATGGAGAAGAACTGGGGTATGCTGTCATTTCCCTTTACTTTCTTCTTTCTGCGTTGGGGGCAAGGCTGATTTATGATGTTAAGGAATGCAAATAAACATCTGGAGTCAAGGATGGCTAGTCTATTTTGCTATATAGCCCCAACATATAGCTGAGTATATGAAGAATTCAGAACTTTTTAGCACCAAAGGTTGCACAGTTGATGAGCACCAGCACTCAAGCATGATCGACACAAGCCCCAAAGAGACACTGATACTAAAGTGGGACCTTTAAAAAAAAATCACACACAACTTTTGAAAACAATTTTCCTTATGGGCTGTTCATACTATACCTTGACTTGAAAGGGCAGCTAAAATACACCTGCAAGGGAGGTACAGCTTCAACCCACTCATGTTCTTTCTTTTTTCTAAGTTAGCCTTCCATCTTTGAAATTAGTTGACACATCCTTCCTTCCTTACAGATTCTACGATAATGAAAGAACAATCACCACAGACATAAAGGATGTTGCCGGTTTTATGACATCACTGATCAACAATGAATGCTCTGGGGATGAAGAACTCACTTACTTGACCCTGAGGGTATTTTATTATTTGTTAAAACTTTCACTTTTGCCATCGATTATATGTTAGAATTCCCTGGTTGGAGAAAACTGATTTTTCTCTCTCTTGCATGATCCACAGACCATTGGCAACATGGGGAAAGTGATGGAAGAAGCCAATCCACAAGTGAAACACTCTCTGAAAACCTGTATAAGAAGTAACACCGCATCACCTGCAGTCCAGAAAGCAGCTATTCAGGCACTGAGAAAAATGACTATTACGGAAGAGGTAAAGCTGAATGTCTTGTCACTTTATGGCTTCCCCACACCTCCACATATTATGCTTTAGCCTGGTGATCAAACAAATCCCATTTTATATCTAAGTAGTGCATCAAGCATGGAAAAGCCAGTATTAATTGACTGATTCATATTTTTTAGAACCAATCCATCAGATTGGATCTGATGGCCCATAATGTTTTGCTGCCTATGGCAAGGACACAGTGGCGTCTACGCCCATTCCATGTCCTTGCTCCATTCCACAAAAAGGCAACTGCATGGCAGTTACGTCTTTTCTTCATCCAGCAGCAGGGCAATATCCTCCAGGCTAGCACCCACTTCTCCCTTCAACACCTTGCTGCCACCTCCCAGCATGCACCACCTGAGCCAGCCATCTCACTTTTTACAGGGGTAAGGTGGCCCTGCCAGAGGTAGTACCCCTATACTTTGATTTATATGAGGATCGAACTCAAAGAGTGTCACTGAAGGAATGAACCTCTAATGTTTTCCAAAGTAAGAATCACACCATACTTTTATGTTTACGCTTCAATATTCCATTCATCCTATTGTTGCAGGACCAAGGGATTCTTGTCAAAGTTTTCCAGGAGTCTTCCTCTCCGGCTGAAAAACGCCTGACTGCTTATCTCATGATGATGAGAAACCCTTCCCCACCTGACATTTCCAAGGCCATTAAAGTCCTTCAGAGGGACAAGAATGAACAAGTAAAAAGCTTTGTAGCCTCACACATTGCCAACATCTTAGATTCCGAAGACGTTTTCACTGAATCGTAAGTATAGCTGCGCAGTTTTGCCTTCGGTCAAAATCACAATCGTGTATTAATGGAGACCTGAAATAATCTCATGAAAGCAAGAATCCATAGGCTACCTATTCACCTTTGATCAGTAACAATCCCAGGTGAAGCTGGCTGTGGACTAGAGTACTGTGCTTCCCACCCAGGGGAGAGACACAACTTAAAAGCACACCTGACAAGTGCCACTTGTGCACCAAGTAAGGGGATTTCCCAAAGTCCTGGCACAGTGCTGCGAATGCAGTGAAGCGGCAGACTGAAAGCAAAGGAATGGCCCAGGAAAATTGCAGGTCAGGACCAGGCAGGGCTTCTGCAGTGCCAGGTAGCTACGGTTGCTTCTTTGCTGAAACCATGCCCAGTGGACCTTGCTAAACCATGTTTTTGTAAGATGTTCCCAGCACCAAACTGTTGCTGTTAATAACTTGGATGCTTTGTTTTCATGTCATCAGGCTTAAAAACAAAATTCAAGAGGCTCTTAAAGGAGCCCAGGTTCCAACCGTCAAAGACTTCCGAAGATTTTCACGCAATTACCAGGTTTCCCTGTCGAAGCCATGGTCCAGTGAACCTTCTTCTGGAAAATTGGAAGGAAATCTGCTGTTTGACCCAAATAGCTATGTACCCAAGGAATCCATGCTGAAAACCACATTGCAGTTGTTTGGACCGAAACCTTTGGATGTGATGGAGGTACTACAGTTTCCAAAGGCTTCCTGTCCTTTCCTCCCTGTGTCCTTCCTCCTCCTTCTGCTTGCTGATACCGACTGCAGTCCAGGAGAGCAAGGGAGGCAGCAGCCCCGGCAACATGGCACTGGTGCTTCTTAACTAGTGGACATCCTGGCATCATCTGCCCCCACTCAGGATTCCCTGCTCCCTCCGGGTTTAGCTACAAGCCGCACGAGTGCCGAAGCTCAGGGTGGGTGGGGGGTGATTTCCCCATCAACCATGTATTGTTCCCTGTTGTAGTACAAAGCACGGAGGCTCTTCAGAAAGTTTCCACACTTTTATAAATATATTTTATATATATTTTTGCTGGTGGGATTAAAAAGTTGGTACGGCCCTGGGAAAATGCAGCACAAAGGAAGGTGACTGTAGAAAAGTGGTGTAATTTGCTTTTGAAATTCTTAAGAAATAGAGTTTAAAACAAGTGCTTTTTTGAAGGACCCTTGTATATTCAGGTGGCTTGGTAGTAAATGGAAATTTAAGGCTGATTAGCTTTATAAAGGGCCTGCTCTGGTAAGGTTGGAAATGGCTTGAAAACTGGAACTGAAAATGGGTGTGTTGACATTGATCAACACAGTTGCCTGGAATTTTCAACTCTTCTGGAGAACAGGAGCTGTCATGATGAATGGCTGCCATTCAAAAATGGTGACTACACCACTCCGGAGGAACCAAAGCACTGCTGAATCCAGGCAATGCCTCAGCCCCTCCTATTCCAGGGGCAGGGAAACATTTAGAGAGTCAGAATCAGACACCAGACCTTTTTATTTTTATTTATTTTTTATTATTGTTTTGAGGGTGAGGGAAGCTTGGAGGCAATCCTCACCTTCTTGGATATCAGCTGCATAGCACTCCTCCCTAGGTAATTAATGAGTGCCGCTAAAAATGGAGGCAGTTTGCTTGGGGACATCTTTGAGGAATCTGCTTCTTTCTGAAGTCTTTGCTTGGCTGGACAAGCTTTCTGTTGATTACAGATCCCTTCATCATTTAGCATCACTTCATGAAAGGAGTAAGATAGTCACTGAGGCTCCTGGACTTCACACGTTTCCCCCACTGCTGCTTCTGTGTTTTTTCTTTCCCCAGAAAATCTGCTAGGGAAGAAAAAAGAAGGCACTAGAGATGGGCAAAGAAGTTCAGAGTTGTTTGGTTTCTCTGAGCATTGCCTGACTGCTTGTCTTGTGCCTGATTCCCATCTGTTTTCACTTGCTTTGCCCAAACGAGCTCTGGGCAAATTGAGCAGCAATTGAACAGGACATTCATACAGAGCTCCCCAATTTTGCATGCATTTCCTTCCCAGACTCAAGCAGGGCCAGGTCAGTCTGCTGAGGACAATTGCACAAATCAAACTGGGGATCAAGAACAAAAGATGTGCTTGGAAATGAAGTTCTCATATTTGTATTTGCATTTGTATACTGTGCACATTAAAACTATTCTAATCACCATTTCTCTCTGTTCTCCTGCTAGATTGGTCTGGATGGGAAAAACTTCGAGCCAACGCTGGAAGCCCTGTTTGGACCAAAAGGCTTTTTCCCTGACAGTGCCACCAGGGCTTTGTACTGGGTCGACGGCAAGGTGCCCCAAGGAGTTTCTCAGGCGATCTTTGACTATTTTGGACAGTCCAAGGAAGGCGCACAGGATCAGGTATACCATTGCTTTCTAGATGATGTTATTTGCTGGTTTTAAAACAGCAAAACACAGTTCTTTTTCAATTTATTGTTAACATTTGTGTACCACTTTATCTGCTAAAAAGCCATCAAGGTAGTGCACCTTTGAAACAGCCCATGTTTGACCAGTGCCCTAAATAAACAAAACATGCTTAAGCTGCAAAGCTAAACACACTTGTTAAGGTCTAGGTCCCTAAGAACCCTGCTTGGACTAGATATGTTAAGAAATAGTGGTCTCAAGTGCTGAATTTACAAATGAGTGTTTCATCTTTCCTATAAGAGAGATGAGATAAAAGCAAGAGAGAAAGAAGCTTTTAAATGATACATGTTCTTTTGTTATGCACTGCTACAGACAGAATGCGGAGCTAGATTATCTCTTAGCTGCATAAGTAGTTCTTTGATTCTAATATTCTCTGTTCTTTTTCTTATGCAGTATCTTGGTAGGGAGCAAAAGTAAGAAAGATGAACTGAAAAACCAAGTAAAAATCATGGCAACATAGGTTCCTTAATGCTGGGCACGGTTGTCAATGTCTAAACTACCCCATACTCCTGGGCACTTTAACACCCATGTCATCTGCAGACACTGGCAGGCAACGGTGTTTATTTTGAGGATGTGAAAAGCTTTACTTGCTAAATTCTGCAGATCAATTAGCTATTGAAGGAACAGAAGACCAAGACCCTTTTCAGGTCAGCTGGTATCTCTAGTTAGGAGTTGTAGACCATGCAAAGAGGTGGACATGTGAAGCTAGGTGCAAAAGGCCATGCAGGATGCTAAAGAACTAGAAATGTAGGTTTCCAAGTTTTGGTCCTCTTCCTAGTGCCAGTTTCCACATCATCTCAATAGCCCCTTTTCAAAAATCAGAGACTTTGAGAGAATGGTGATGTAGCATATGGAAATTACTACTAATGGCCTGAGTCTGAAGATCTTTGGATGCAAGGCACTATATAAAACTATGCAGATGATAAAAGAAGTTAAGAAAATATGTTAACTGAATCAGAATTGTTACAAGACATTTTAGACTATCTGGAGAGAGATCCTTCCATGCAAAGATCCCATGCATGAACATGTGGACTGGTTAGCCTAGAGTGACCTGTATAAACTTTTTTCTTTTTCTTTTGCAGTCTCATGATTTAATGAAAGGGATTATGGTTAATCTAGAGAAAGCAGTAAATGAAATCCGCAGCAAAGAAACTCCTGAAGCCAGAGCCTACCTTCAAATTTTCGAGAAAGAGCTGGGATACTTGAAACTCAGTGACATTAAGCTGTTAAGAGATCTATTTCATACAGTCGTCAGAAGCCTGTATGCTGTGCCGAAGAAGGTAGATTTCCAAAACACTGACGCGTGTAGCTGTGCAATGCATTGTACCCCACCTGTCTCCATACCTGCCATTGTACACCAACCACCACTACCTAAAGTGTGTTTATCACATGATTTAAGGTCACAGTGCCAGGACATAATCCTGTTTAAGACGGAAAAAAGTGTTCTGCAGGTTCTCCAGCCAGCACTGCTGAGATTTTTAGGACCTTTTCTGCTTCCTCATACAGAGAACGCTGCTCTTACAGGCTGCACTTCTGTACATCTTGACCTGGAAGGAAACCATATCGAATACTTCTGACTGGTCACGCACAGGATAGCACTGCAAGCTTTACTAAGTCCAAAGCAGCTGCTTTCATCCTGTGGATTTACTAGATGCGATTGGAGTGGTGTGTTCCTGTGTGATGGGATGGCTCTGGCATTCAGAGGATGGATGGCAAAGCACAAATAAGTTAAAGATAGACAGACATACTTGCTTCACAGTGAACATGCTTAGGTCTGAACTCCATGAGCAGACTTAAGACCAGGGCTCACTGGAACAAAGGCAGGTACTCAGTTTAAAAAAGAAAATGGTTGTTAGCTCAGAGCTGGGGACTAATGAAAAAGCAATCTTGCATCCCTGCAGGTCAGTCTGGATGGGAGGCCATTCCTGCAATTAGCAACTGCATCAGTGGCTTGGGAAAGGTCAGAGCAAAGCACTGGGAGGGAGGCAATCTTTAAACCTTTCCTTGAAACCTACCTTCCACGGCAACATTGATCCTGACTGGAACCCCTTGTCTGGAAGCACCCCAAATCCTTGGCTGCAGGAATATTTTCTGTCCCAGCTAATATAACAGCGCAGGGTCAATTTTTCCAGCTAAAACTGATCTAAGGAATCAATCTGCATGTCCATGCAGAGTTGCCCAAGGCTGTCTTTGGACAGGAGACAAAAATTTGCACACACGCCGAAATCTATTGGTTTTGGCTATTGGCTGCTCATTTGTCCCCTATCTGGACCAAAAAAAAGTGTCCCATGGCATCTTCCAAACAAACCAGCAGAGGGAAGCAGACTTCCTCTGACAGCATCCCTTTGTTTTGGTTTTGGGACATTTTGCTACCCCAAAATTTGAAAAGTGCTTTACAGGAATTAAATATCCCTAACGCATTTGTGGCCACTTCTTTGTCTCTAGGAAGGTTAAGCAAGATATTTGAAAGAATCTCCCGTGTACCCGTGATTCCTTTTGCAGCAAGGTTTAACTCGCGTAATGTCAGAACGCACGCCCAGGCTAAGCGCATGCAATGCCCTGTCACAGGTATGGGACAAATCGTTTCCTTTTTTGCTCACAGATTGTGCATGCCATCTCCAGCGGGGCTGAGAAAGACCTCTTCCTTCACTACATCTTTATGGACAATGAATTTGAGCTGCCAACTGGTGCAGGGCTGCAGCTACATGTTGCTTTTTCTGGAGTAGCCACTCCTGGAGCGAAGGTTGGAGTGAAGATTTCACAGAGGAATGTGAGTCTCAGTTGTTTTCTGCCTGATCTACAAATTTATTGCACAGGCAAGGACATGAGAGAAGTGAAGGTAATGCAAGGCAGAATTACAGATTGCAGGGAGGTGGAGAGAGCCAGTCGTCTTACTCTTTGCCATGGCCTCCTTAGCTTTTGTTTTTGCAAGGCCATAGGATGGGCGTGATTTGACTAACATTCTGAAGAAATCATGAAGTGAGGTTTCCGCTAGAGCAGGGGTGTCAAACTCGCGGCCCGCGGGCCAATTGCCGGGACAGACGGGGCACGGGGGAGGGGCCCTGCGGCCTTCAAAGCGCCGGCGGCACCCAGGCCAGCCGCGGGATGAGCGGCCCACCACCACCACGGTGGTGGAATACTTGAGGCGGCCCAGCCTCACCCAGACTCTACTTCCAGCAGCCCCCAGGGAAGTTCCGTTTGAGATCCCTGCGCTAGAGTAAAGGGCAGGTGAGTAGTTTTGGAGGGGTGTGGGAACAGGTGGGCATTCTGAGGGTTTGTTGACAAGACTGGATGGCCACCTTGAGTGAGAAGAGGCTGTGCTGATCCCAATCATTACTGGAATTGATGTGGCATAAAGTTCAGTCCTATGAAAAAATACAAAAGGCGGTGTTGAATTATTTGTAATTGCTTCGCCACCACATTCCTTTATTTGACAAAAAGAGTGGTAAGATGGAGAAAAGGGGAGGGGAGAGGAGAGGAATACCAAAGATACTACACAAATATAGCATACAATTTTGATATCTAAAAAAATCACAAAAAAGCAGAAATTTCTATCTTTTCTGCTCACCATTAAGTCAATTAGTTCTTCATTAAGGCCCATAAACAAATCATTCTAGTTTATAGTTCTTTAAACCAAAATTGTCCAATCTTTTAAAACTAACTGCAAAAAGCATCATAGCTTTAACATTGAAACAAAGCTAACTCATTATATTTTTACGAGTTCTATTTTCTTGAAAGTTAATTAAATTGTTTTTCATAAGCTTTCCATTTTTCATTAAATTCTTCTGTTATTATTTCTGATTGGTTGTGAAATATTTGGGTCACATTTCTATGATTATGATACTCTTAACACTGACTCTGGGACTGCAGGTGGCGCAGTGGTTTAAACCACTGTGCTGCTGGGCTGGTTGATTGAAAGGTTGCCAGTTCAAATCTGCACAATGGGGTGAGTTCCCGTTGCTCCATCCCAGCTCCTGCCAGCCCTGCCGTTCGAAAGCATGCAAGTGCAAGTAGATAAAAAGGTACCACTTTGGTGGGCAGGTAACAGTGCTCCGTGCACCTTGGTGTTTAGTCATGCCGGCCCCATGACCACGGAGACTGTCTGCGGACAAACGCTGGCTCCCTCGGCCAGGAAACGGAGATGAGCACCACCCCCTAGAGTCAGGCATGACTGGACGTAACGTCAAGGGGAAACCTTTACCTTTACTAACACAGGCTCTAGTTCATCCAATAGACCATCATTTTGGGGTTCTTGTTTTGCCAAGAGCTTTTATGAACTTTGACAGATCATGTTCTCATATCCCAGGCTAATTTGTACTCCTGCCCAAAACTGTTTGTGTGTCAATGCAGAAGTCTATGTTTTCTTCATGTATAGAAGTAGCATCATATCATACAAATCTAGGTGTATGCGAACCATTTCCTTGACTATGAGGTCTTTGCCACTTAAGCATAGCTTCTGTGTTGTGCATAAACACGAAACAAATTTTATCATCTAGCCTGTTAGGGAAATACACTGTCAATATGAAGAATGTCAGTAGCCTAAAGGAATTGCTATGAGGTCAGGAAGGGAAGGGAAGGGAAGGGAAGGGAAGGGAAGGGAAGGGAAGGGAAGGGAAGAAGTTTCCATGAAAATAAATGATTGTGTTTTGTGTCTGTCCTGCAGTTGCAAGCAGAATTGGTTGCTAAACCCTCCGTGGCAGCTGAATTCATAACACATATGGGAGTGAACTTCCCTGAGTTTGCTAAAACTGGCGTGCAGATGAACACCAATTTATACCATGAGTCTGGAACGGAAGTCCACGTTGCGCTGAAAGCTGGAAAACTTAAGTTCACAATTCCTGCACCAAAGACCCCAACCAAGCTCTTCAGCATCAGGTATTGTTTGGGAATATAAAATCTCTTAGAAATTCCTGCCTTTTGGGGGGTTTTCTGACTTGTGAAAACAATGCTATGTTTTTCATACTGTGGCAAAAAAATCATGGCATATGTTTTGGCTTATTGCAGAAATGTTTTGCAGCAATTTCTACAGTCGGTGTGTCCCCTTTCTACAGTCGGTGTGTTACAAAAATAACCATCCACCGTCCACTTTCTCCACTGAAGGTTATTCCCCAAGTGAAATGGGCTGTGAATTAGCCTGGAGATGCAACTTTCCACCATGCGATAGATATTTCTATATTAGTCTGGCTCTTTTTGGCAGTGGAGACAGATAGCTGGAGACTGCAGTTTAGGTCTTCTCCTTGTTCTGTCTGAATGACATACACGCATGCTTAAAGTGCTTGGAGGATCTAGCACAGGGTGAGGAACCAGCCCAGTCCTCTGGATTTCCATGCTGCACTCCCTTCCCCTGAGTGCCGATCATGCCAGGATCTTGTGAAGCTTCCCCTCACTCTCAAAGTTAAAATATGTTCAATACTGGCAAAAGAGCTTTAAATGACAACATAACATTGTGTTTGTTATTTTGGGCCCCATTCCTTTTAGCCTTTTTCCCTATCCAGGGCAGAAATGCAGCCTTCAAGAGCGTCTCTAAAATGTAATTTGTTCCTTGAGCCGAAAGAGATTTAGCACCCTGTCCTAGGGTAAAATTATGAAACATTATATTAAAGAAATGAAACTACCCTCCCATTTGCGTGCTGTCTGCCATGCACAAGATTCTGTTTAAATCAAGCTGGTAACATCCCCATTTTTGCAAGCTGTTCCTTGGGATAGCTGATTGGTCAAATCAGGTGAATAAACCTAGAGAGGTCATATATTTCCTTTCCTCTTGTAGCAATGTGTTGCACTTGGTCAGCCAAACCCGCACTGAAGCCTTCCGCCCTCTGACTGAGAACCGCGAGTCTCGGACATCTTGCTCACCTTCCTTCATTGGCCTTCACTTCTGTACCACAGTAGAATATCCCAATGCCAGTTCCACAGGGGAGGCACCTTACTTCCCACTCACTGGGGAAACCAGGTGAGTCAACCTGTGTGGCTTTCTCTGTGTGTGGGCGAGTGTCATCCACGTTTTCTGTTACGGCTTCTCTGCTGACACAGACCAACCCAATTCTGCATGAAGAAAAGATGGTTTCCATGACTGCTAAGTTAAAATTTGGGGGGGGGTCTATTTAGCATAATTCATCCAGCTTCTGATAAATCGAGGAGCAGGTGAACGATGGGAAGCTCAGTCTTCTCATCCTACTCAGTGCCTCCCCAATGGCTATATATAAGGCCAGCATCGAAGGCAGTCATGGTGAGGCACCTGCCAAGAACCCACACCCAGCACGGCCCCACTGACAAGCACCATCCACGCCAGTGAGAAGGTCGACTCATTGAAGGATGGGGCCCATTGTGGGTACGTTGCCCTACAGCCCTGGAAAACCTAGGACCAGTCCTCTAGGTTGTGGAAAACCCTAGAACCTAGACTGTGAAGTTTACCCTGCACCCCCTCTGAAGTCTCTGTTCAATAGTCCACAGGGCTAGAACCCAGCCATCCCACCTCTCTTTAAGTGGAAACTGATACTCAGAGTGTTGAGGTCAGTCTCAGATTCCCTTTTGAAGGAAGGAATATGAGAAAACATACTGTCCCAGTGACAAATACACACACACACACACACACACACACACACACACACATGTATACATATTATCTACCAGCACTTGCATCCTGCACCTCCCAAATGGTCCAATAAATGTTTTAAGAATGCAATCCAATCAGGGTGCAGGTAAGCCTCCGAACTCAGAGGCATCCTAAGCAAGCAAGAGATGTGCTGGAGGCAGCCTTTGCCTCTCTGTGCCTCCCACCCTGCAAGTCAGCTGATTTCGGTCCTCTAACAGCTGGTTTTGGACAGCTGATTTCGGTCCTCTAACTGTGGTCCTTCAGAAGAGGCGGGAAGGAGGCTATCCTGCTCAGGAGCCTCCCAAGCCCCTGGAATGTCCCCTTATTGAGATCACTTACACAGTCTCAGAGAAGCAGTGCTTTCCCTGCTGGCTGCAAGGGGTACGTGGGATATCTGAATGCAGACCTGATATGCTCCGTTTCCAACCTGAGATCTCAGAATCCAAAGAATACCAAGGCTGCCCTAGATTCTGTCAGGGGGGCATAGGAGCATTCTATAATATACAGCTTAATAAAAAAGATGTATTTATAGCTAAGAGAAATTTCAAATATCTACTTAAATGTGCATTCGGATGCAAATTTTCCCTGAAGAATCTTACAGATTAAGGCAGAAAGAAGGCAGAAAAAATAGGATTTAAAATATGTGAAATGGACACAGACTGGAAATAGAGCAATTCACCCATGCCAAGGAAAAGTGCATGGATATGATGGCTAAGCTTTCTGAAACTTCACAGAAATGTACAAATAGAGGTTATTATACACCCACAATTTGTTTATTTATTTATATCCCACCTTTTATTTTCCATTGAAGGCACTCAAGGCAGCTTACATAACTCTCCCCCTCCTGTCAATCATATCCCCACAACAACAACCCTGTGAGGTAGGCTAGGCTGAGAGTCTCTGACTGGCCCAGACTCTCCCACTGAGCTCCATGGCTGAGTGGAGACTAGAAGCCAGATCTCCGGAGTCCCAGCCCAGCACTCTTAGCCACTACACCACACGGATACGCTGCACCATCACCAGTCCTATTCTTCATACAGTTTCATCTTTTTAATCTCAGGTTGAGCCATTGACAAATACATCTTCATCTCTTTTAACAACTAAGCACACAATCATATCTGTTTAGGGAACTGGGTTTTTTTTTACAAGGGAATTATGATCATATTTCATCATTTATAATGGCAGATGATCTGTCTGTTTTCTCATCACTAGGTATGAAGTTGAACTGAAGCCAACAGGAGAAGTTAAGGAATATTCTGCAAGTGCTAACTACGAAGCAGTAAAAGAGGGAGAGGACTTGATAGACATCCTGAAGTTCTCTGCTCAAGCTGAAGGTAAGAGGCTATGCAATCATTGCAAATTGCAAAGGTAAGCTTTATAAAATAATGTATGGCTCTTTTCTGCCCAAATCTCTACAGCAACCATATGCAAAGTGCATAGTTCTCCTGCCAAAAGCCATTCTTGGAGGATCTGGACATTAAATCACCAGAACCTTCAGCTATTTTGATGCAAGGAACACATAGTAGGCCAGATAGACTGGAGCCAGAGAACTGGTTCACACATATACATTGCTTGTTTGATTACTGCACCGTTGACCATAGACTTAAGAATATCAGTCAGTTACATGTCCAGCTGCCAATCTCCAGCTACTTAAAGAACAAACTCAGAGAAATCAAGTACAGAGTCTAGAACCAGGATCCTAAGACCCCGCTTTCCATGTTTCCTTTCATCCATTCCAGTAGTTGCTACTGCCAACATGTCAATCGAACTCGTGCTGTTTGAAAACCATCCATTGCCATTATGTGTTTCAGGTGTAAAACAATATGAAGCCACACTGACCTTCAGCTACAATCGAGGCAAAAAGATTTTTAACAGCGACTTCCAGGTTCCCTATTTCAACATCGACTTGGGCACCAACTTCAGATTAACTGATTCCTCCACTCATAAGAAGAAAGCCTATGCCCTTATCGTAGACCTGAACAACAAGAAAGTTCCTGAAGTTACTCTAACAGGACGCATAGGGTAACAACTCAAGTTTTTTCTAATTGTGACAGATATTACAGTATACAGTGGTACCTCGGCTCAAGAACGCCTCAGTTCATGACCAAATCGAGTTGCAAACAGAAATTTCACAAAAAATTTGCCTCAGGTCATGCACTCTGCATCAGGTGACAATCACGGGCATGCTGGGAGGAAGGAGACAGGTGCAGTTGCGCCCGTCTCCCCCAAAGTGTGCCCATGATCACGCCCGTGATCTCTCCCCGCCCCAAGCATGCCCGCAATCGCACCCATCTATGCCCGTGATCGCGGTCGCACTCATGCAGGGAAGACAAGCACAATCGCGGTCGTGCTGGGGGTGGGGGGGAGATGGCCTCAATTGTGCTGGGGTGGGGGGAGAGATGGCCACGATCTTTGTTGTTCTTTGTCACTTTATTTCAAATGTATGTGATAAAAAATGGTTACAGAACGGATTAACCTTATTTACATTGAACCTTATGGGGAAATTTGACTTGGCTCATGACCAATTTGGGTCATGACCAGAGTCCTGGAATGGACTAAGTTCGTGAGCAAAGGTACCACTGTATAGCCTGAAGTGCTGGATTGTGCCCAGTCTTAGAAGCTAAGCAGGGTCAGGCCTGCTTGTTATTAGGATGGGAGACAGCTTCCACTATGCATACATTCAGTGTAGAAATGCAATGATTAATCATAATCATGGTATTAATTAGAGGTGGCCAACACAGCACGCATCCACTCTGCTTTTTGGAATTTCTGGGCCTTAGTAGCAGGGAGTGGAAATCCACAGGGTCCCTGAGCAACTGGAGACTTTGCTCCATAGACTGGCCTTGTAGAGGCCTTTCTATAGGCTCCAGCTTGTATGGTATAGAACGATCCCTTTTCACGCTGGCAGTGCTACTGTAGGGGCATTTGTGCCAGGCTCAACAGTGACATGATAGCCAGCACGACTCAATATGGCTACAGCAGAAATTACGTGGAGGCAGTTCCCAGTGGCCTCTGAACATTGCTAGCAGTAGATAAGGACCGCCTGGGGTATTCCCGTTACTGCTTTGGGGAGTCCTGAAGCATTCCTGAAGCTCCCAGAGTACAACTTCCTCTCCCTTTACATCTCCTGTTCTCTGTTTTTCTTCAGTTTGTTCTTCCAGCCTCATATTCTGTCTTCTGATTACTAAGGATGGTGTCCAAAATTAGTCATACTTAGAATAAACCCACTGAAATGAATGGGAGTTAAGTTAGACTAATTCTGAGTACAACCCCATGTGTCTCCCTTGATGAATTGTCTGTGTGACTTTCGGCCAATGGGGGGACCAAACAAATAGTGAATGGGAGGATCTCATGACTTTACACAGCTGATCGGAGTTGTGCACGTGACACTGTCACTTGGGCAGACAAACCATCCTCAGAGTCAGGGCAATTTTCTCCCAACTACAACTACAAGGAAGTCCAAAAAATCAGAAAAGGTGCCAGATGAAATGTTTGCGAGAAGCGCCCTCCCTTTCAGCATCCTCTTCTTCATAAGGGCAATATCCAGGAAGAGAAAATTGATACTAGATTTCTAAGACCCACATCTTTTAGAGAGCCATTGGTAGAATAATGGCTAAAGGCATCCTTTCTCAACCGGATGGCCTCCAGGTTCACTGCACTACAGCACCCACCTCTCCCAGGTTGGCTGAGGAAACTAGGAGTTATAGTCCAACACACCTAAAGGCAACTAGTTCGGGAAAATTCACAAACTAGTTATCTTAATGTACTATTTGAAGCCTAGTATAGTTTTAGTTGCTCAATAAATTAATAAACAGATAGCAGTTACTTAAACAAATTAATTATACAAACTATGTAAGATTCTAGATTAAAATGAACCTTTTGTCACCTACTTTCCACCCATTTTGAATGCTGAAAGTAAAGCAACACAAGTAGTAAAAACTGACCAAAAATGATAGTCATGCCTGTGTTGTTCCAGATATGCTCCTGGGAAGGAGTCAACAGTGGAAGCGTCAATCTCTGTTCCTCGTCTGCAGAGTCAAGCAAAAACAGATTTTTCACTGCTACGGTCACGTAATGGGATGGAATGCAGGATTGACTCCTCAGGCACAATTTATGGCTCCTCAGTTTCAGAGCGGATTATGCTGAGATATGGTGGGTTCCTTCCTCAACTTGAAAGATCTTTAGCAACCAAAACCCATAGCCCTGGAAAGACAACGTGCAATGAAGGTTCAAGAACGTGCTGATCAGCAGCTCAGGGTCCCTTCCTGATCCAGCCATTGGATGTCTTCCCTGCATGGCAGTCTGTGCATGCAGAACTCAAGGATGTGGATTTAAACCGCACGGCACACATACAGCTCCGTGGCAGAGTACAGGACTCGTGCGCAAAAGGTCCCCAGTTCAGTCCCCCACACCTCCAAATGGGTCAGTGGGAGACTCCAGTAGAGCAGCTGCTGGTCAGTCACATGCTGAGCTAGATGGGACAGTCCATGTTCATACACATGTGCAGGCTACATGCCCCAGCCCTATCCCACTTTCCCCACCACAGGTCCAACTGAGCATCTCAATAGGTTTGCAAAATCGACTGGATGGGAGATAACACAGTGCCATTTGTTATGGGTTTCAGATGATGAGAAAGTTGAAATGGAGTGGAATTCAGGTACTAGTGCTGCCCTGAAGAAGATGTCACCCATGATGCCCGTCGACTTCATGGAGTATGCAAAGGTTTTGCGGAAGCATGCAAACATGCTGCTGGACCACCAAGTAGCCAACACAGACATGACGCTCCGGCATATCGTTTCACATTTACTAACAGTAAGTGAATATACCAGCCACATAAAAGACTTCTGTCCACCCACCATTAATTGTGGTCATGGGATGCACTTAGAGGAGGCCAATTCAATGACCACTACAAACATTGGTGAGTACGAGCAGAACTGATATTAAAACCAGCAGGAGCTGGTGAGATGGGGCAGATGGCAGCAAACGGCCACCATTACTCGGGGAGTTTGAGGCCACAGCTTTTCTCATGGCCATTGCTCGAGGGCAGCAGAGGTGGAGGCAGTGGAGGAAGCACTATCTAAGTCCCTGGCACAGCTGATGATTGCAGCCTGTGTTATAGCAGTGTGTTATAGCTGTATGAGGGTTTTGTGAATTTATATGACAACGTTTTAAAAATATGTTTGTATGTATGTATAGCTTTTCTATCCCATCCCCTACAGAATGTCTTGAAATAAATATGTTTTCTAAAAGACACAGCAAAAAAGCAATTACAGAGAAACATAATCTAATCAAGAAGAGTAGCATTTTTTTTCTTAAGTACGGCAAGATTTTTAGGGTCCAATTGTCAAACACGCTGCATGTACACTCAAAACTGCACTGCATGTGGGGGGGGGGAGAGGGCGAACATTGCTTTTAATGACTACATATCAGATAGGACAAAAAGCTCCCTGGGAAGGGGGGTAGGAATTAGTTCCATGATTCACTGGGTTCAGGAAGACCAAGGCCCACTGATGCCAGAATTGTGACTGCAGTGTTGGAGCCACCATAACATGGCCCTTGTCGTTTCACAAGGGTAGCCGAAGGTTAGGGACTATGCACTGAAGTGTGCATGCTGTGGTTCTTTCCAGGGCCAGCGGTAACTCACTGCATCCAGTGCCAGTGTGGGGAAAGCAGCAATGCAGGCTCCTCCAGAATGGTTCAAGGTCTCTCGCACAACCTGGCACAGTGCGGAAAGAAGCAGTGCTGCTGTTGCCCTGGTAGTTGCTGTTGCCACTACCAGGGCAAGTACTGGGCCCAAGAGCTGAGAACGTGGAGCTGAGGCTACTTCTCACAGGCTTTAGCACTTTCCCCAAGTCAGGTGGGCTGCAGGAACAGCTGAACTGCTTCTGATGGTTAACCTCTTCTGCTGTGACGCTTTGCTCTGATCTTGCAGGCAATCAGCACCTCATTGCAGCAGGGATCCAGGAATGTTCCTTATGCCCAGACGATACAGGACAAATTGAATGGACTTCAGGAACTGAAGCTTCAGAGCATGGATTTTATCAGCATTCCTGAGGAGCTTTTCTTCAGAAGGTAAAGCAAAAGATGAGCAGTCCTTGTAAGAGGTCCTACTTGATGCCGGCAAAGGGAGAACAGCATTACTGGTTCAACAGGAGGAAGCTAATCTATCCCAAACAACTAGATGTGATCCATGGGTGCTTCCAAACCAATGGCACCTTTGTTCTTATGTGCTGTCAAGTCAGCTCCAACTTATGGTGACCCAAGGAATGAAAGCCCCACAAAATGACCCGTCCATGACAGCCCTGCTTAAGTTCAAGGCTGTGCCCTCCTTTATGGAGTCAATCCATATGGTGGTCCTTTTCTTCTTCTGCCTTTGACTTCCCCTAGCATGACTGTCTTCTCCAGTGAGACTTGCCCTCTCATGATGTGTCTAGCACTATACATTCAAAGGCAACATGGAGCTATTAACAGAAAGACAAAGGGTGCTACAAACATCCCGTGGACTTCCTGTAAAGGTGAGGCAAGGTGTCTGCTCCGTACAGGTCACATTCAGAATCACCCCATGTTTCCAAGGGAAAAGAAAAGTTTTACTCGTTTCAGTGGAACTTTTCTCCAGGAGAGATGGTTCTATTTATTGTCTTGGGGCTATCACCATTTTAGTCAGTTACCTATGGAAGTAAACATACTTTATAGGAGTAAAATCTGCAAGGGCAGCGCATAGTTGCAAATGGAAAGCTACCAAAAGTTAGCAATGCAGCACATGCTTTGCCTGCAGAAGGTCTCAGTTTCCATTTGTAGCATCTTCAGTTGGAGCGTGTTCTCAGATAGCTGATAAGATAACAGGGAAGGCCCTTTTCTGAGAGATGCTTGAGAAACATCCTCACAGTAGGCAGAGTAGGTGAGCAAAATATGCCAACGGGGTATGAGGAGCTTCCTGAGTAAAGTGCAACATCTGTTCTTTTGCAATCTTCTTACAATCATCACTCTGTGAAACTTTGCATTGCAGCGATGGCCAGATTAAATACATATGGAACAAGGACAGTATGACCATCACCATCCCAGTGCCATTAGGTGGCAAATCATCCCATGACTTGAGAGTTCCTGAGAATATATGGCTACCTCCATTGGCAATGCCATTGTTGGGAGTAAACATGCCCTCACAAGATTTCCTGCTTCCATCATTCACCATCCCAAAGTCCTACGCTCTCAACATACCTTTGCTGGGTACTTTGGAGGCCTCTTCCAACGTGTACAGCAATTACTACAATTGGTCAGGCTCCTATTCGTTGGCTAATACCACAGGGGACACACTCAGCCTAAGAACACGCTACTTCATGAGAGCAGATTGTGTTTTGGATCTACTTTCATATAATATACAAGGTAAGAATCTGTGCCTATTATTTCAAATGTATTTATTTCATCTAAAGTTGTTTGTCATGATTAACCTTCTTTTAAACGAAAGGTGTAAGAATCTACAATTAAGTGCACATAGGATTGCAGTCTTAGACTAAATCCCACATAATTCATTCTAAAGGTAGTGGGTCTTAAAAGCAGTTCAGGTCAACAGTATACCCACTTACTTGGGAGTAAATGCTGTCAAACAAACTGAGGCATGATTTCAAGTAAGCATGCACAAGTTCCATCAGTGTGTTTCTTGAATTCCTTTGGCTCACAGGGAGTCTGATCAAAGACATGGATGAGCAATAATTCAGAAGTCACAGTCACCTGTCCAACTTAACATTTTCAAGATGCTGGGTTTATATTATATTATATTAATTATATTATATTATATTATATTATATTATATTATATTATATTATATGCCTGCATTTTTTCCTTCAAGGAACACAAGACAATTTCCACAATCCTCCTCCTTTCAGTATTATCCTCACAACAACCCTAATTTTATTTTCCCTATTCCTTTGTATTTCAGGTCAGGGTGGAACAAGTTTTGACCAGAATGCCTTCAGCTGTGACTATGAGAACACACTGAAACATGGACTGCTCAGCTCACACTTTCAGTACAGCAAGGCAGAACAATTTAACCCCAGTCCCACAAGCAAAACTGCTCTTACATTTAAGACTTCCAGCCCGCTGGGTGCTCAATTTTCTCTGTCTATCCATGAAGATGCCAAAGATAGCAACAACCTGTTGGTTAGGAATGTAGATGTAGAAGGGCAGCTGAATGTTGCTTCAGCCTTTGCAAAAACCACATATACTCATTCCACCACCTATGATACAAGCAAGCTCACCTGGGTAGGGGAATCAAACCTGAAGTTTGACTCTTCCATCCTTCAGGCTACGAACCAGATTACTGGCAGACAGACGGAAGACGCATGGACCATCACATCTTTCTCAAACGTACAGAACGGCTTTCTGACTAACACTGCTTCCTTGAAGTATCAAAACAGCCAACTGAAGTTGTCGTCTGAGACAGCTGGAAACCACAGGGACTTTGCAATTCTCAACAAGCTTGACGTATCTCTGGGCGGGCAAGGGGCTACACTGCGTTCTGAGTACCAAGCCAGTTGGATGGAAAATAAATACTATGCCTTGATTTCAGGTTCTGCTAATAACCGAGGTGCTGAGCTGATTAGCCATGTTTCGGCAAAAGGGGAAAGAAACAACGCAGAACACAAGTCAGAGTTAAGTATTAACCAGAATGGCCTGGCCAGCAGCTCAACCTCAAAACTGCAGTTCAACCTACTGATGCTGGAGAATGAAATGAATGCTCAGATTGGACTCTCAGGGGCCTCTGCAAAGATAAATACTAATGGGCGCTTTGGAAAACATCATGCAATGTTCAACTTGGATGGAAAAGTGGCTCTTACAGAAGTAATGCTCGTAAGTGTGTATCAAGGCAGCATTTCAGATGCGGACAGCACAAATACATTGACCTTCAAAGTGAATAAAGGAGGCCTCAAGTTCTCAAACAACTTGATAGGATCGTACAAAGAAATGAAGCTCGAACACACACATGACTTGAACATTGTAGGCCTATCGCTGACCTATGCTTCAAATTTAGATCACACCATCAGCCAGGGCAAGTCTCACAAGCATCATTTGGACTTCCAGCTGGAGCCCTTTTCTCTAACAGGCAGTGTGAACAATGAGTTAAAATACGGCACTGCCAATGTAAACAACAATGCCCGGTTTCAACTTGAACCTCGGAAGATAAATCTGGATGGCAAAGTGAAAGGTGCTTTTGGCAGAAGTGAGGTGAAGCATGCCTACACCTTCACCTGTGAAGATTTGAAGGCACACCTGAAGACGGACACAGTGGCAAACATTCAGGCTGTAGCTCTGACCCACAGAGTTGACTTAAATGTTGCAGGACTCTCCTCTACGCTCACGGTCAACACCGACTGTCACTCAAGGTCTTTAACTTTTTCTAATGAAGTGCGAACTGTTGCAGCCCCTTTTAAAGTCACTGCTGATATGCGTACGAATGCTGACGGGAGAGTCCTGCTCTTGGGAGAACACTCAGGGAAACTGTACAACAAATTCCTGCTACATGCGGAACCTCTTGCTTTCACCTTCTCCCACGATTACCAGGGATCCACTGCCCACACACTATCCTCTGGGAAAGTGCACAAGACATCACTGGATAATAAAGCCACTGTCCTTCTGATGCCATCTGAACAAAAGAGTACTTGGACAATGAAAACTGAGCTGAACAATAATGTGCATACCCAGGAACTTAGTGTTTTTAATGATCCTAAAGCCATTGGTGTGAAGCTAAGTGGACAAACTTTAGCAGACCTTTCTCTGCTGGACTTACCTATAAATATACCATTCACAGATGCTGAAACAGTCAATCTAATTGATGCATTTGATTTAAGGGAAAATACAGCCCAGCCTCAAGAGTTTGCTCTCTCTTTTTCTGTGTTGTATGATAAGAATGAGGATATGCATGTCATCAATCTACCCTTCTTAGAAAAGCTACCTGTTTACTATGAGCAATGTCGTCAGTCTTTCCTAGCTGCACTGGAAGCTGTTCAGAAGAGCCTGCAGAGTGTGAATGTAGACCAGTTTGTAAGGAAGTACAAGGCAACACTAGATAAGCTCTCCCAGCAGGTTAATGACTACGTGGACAGTTTCGATTTGGAAAGTAAAGTGAACATCCTGAAAGAGAAACTGGATGCTTTTGCAAAGGATTATATCATAACAGTGGAGGACTTTCAACTTGTCTTGGAAAAAGCCAGAACAAGCCTTCAAGAAGCTTTCTTGAAGCTGCAAACACTCCTAGTGGAAGCTGAAAAGTATATCAAGGAGAGCTATGACTTCAGAACAGCTATTTTACAGTTTATTGAGCAAATTGTTGAAAAACTGAAAACCTTAGACAGGCAATACAAAATTAGTGCAAACATGATGGACACTATTGAACAATTACAGTCTGTTATCTCTCAGTATGACCTCAGCCAGATAGGAAGCAGCGCTGCAGCTTGGGCAAAGAATATAGATGATCAGTATAAAATCAAGGCTCAGATGCAAGAAAAATTAGACCAGTTGAAGAAGCAGATTCAAAGTATAGATGTCCAACATATTGCAGAGAGTCTGAAGCACCAGGTGGAGGCAATTGACTTCAAAACACTTATGAATAAGTTGGAAGAGTTCCTCCCACGTCAACATATGAATCAAATCCTTGAACAATTGAAATATATTCTTCTAAGTCTTATGGAGCAGCTCGGAGTGTTTGAGAATATCAACGTCTTGCAAGCCAAAATGCATGAACTTATCGTAAACTATCAAATTGATCAGCAGGTCAAAGCTCTGATGGACAAGGTGATTGAGTTTTTTAAGCAGCAGAAAATCAGAGAAACAGTCCAGAAATTAACTGTGTCACTGAGAAAAATTGATATAAAATCATTATTCAATCAGTTACAGAAATATATCGATGATATTATTAAGCAGCTCCAGACATTTGATTTCAAAAATGTGGTGGAGGAAATCAACAATGTTCTTGATATTGTTATAAAGCAGCTGAAGTCCTTTGATTACAACAAGTTTGTAGATGAATTAAACCATAAAATTCGGGAGGGAACACAGAAAATCAATGATGAAATCAGAGCCTTAGAATTACCACAGAAATTGGAAGCAGCCATACAATTAATCAAAGAGGTAAATGCTGTGGTTCTCCAATATATCAAGAAACTAGAAGAAACTAGACTTGCTATAGTAGTTGACTGGCTCAATGATCTCCTGAGCTCCACAGCAGTAAAGGAACTGAAAAAGAAGATACGTGATTATCTGGAAGAGGTACGTGATATAATTTATCAAATGGACATACCAACAGAATGCCAGAAACATCTTGAGAAGGCAAGCCAGGTGTACAATGCCATAATCACCTATCTAGTTGATCAGTGGAATGCTGCTTCCAAGAAGATAGCTCTTCTAGCTGAGCAATACAATGTAAAAAATATGGCTGACCATTTGAACCACTTTGTTGAAACTGGTTTTCTAGTTCCTGAAATCAGAACAGGGATAATCAATATGGCTGCTTTTGAAATCAGTTTACGGGCCCTACGGGAAGCAACAATTCAAACTCCAGCTTTTACTGTTCCATTCACAGACCTGTATGTCCCTTCATATCAGATAAATCTCAAGAAACTACAAGAGATCAGAATTACAGCTAGATTTACTACTCCTGAGTTTACTATTCTAAATACCTATAAGGTTCCCTCTTATACAATTGATTTGAATGAAATCAAATTGAAGATTGTGAAGATGATAGATCAGATAATGACAAGTGACTTTCAGTTTCCTGCAGGTGATGTGTATTTCCAAGATCTAAAGATAAAAGACATGTATTTTTTTGACTTTTCATTCCCAGAAATGAATCTGCCTGAGTTACAGATACCAGCATTATCGATCCCAACACTCAATCTGAGTGAATTCCAATTTGAAGATATTGCTATACCAGAATTTCAGATTCCACGCATTCCACACTCTTTGACTGTCCCTACATTTGGAAAACTGTCTGGAGCCTTCAGAGTTGCCTCTCCCTTCTTCACACTGAACACTAATGCTGGTTTTCAGAATGTCACAACTGTTGCCCACAGCCCAGAATTTGTGGCCTCTGTGTCAGCTGTAGCAACATCCAAAGTCGATGCCTTGGCTTTCAGCATGACTGCAGACACACGCCTCAAAGCTCCTGAGATGCAGCGGCTAGTCTTAAAAGACAGCCTGAAGTTCTCCCACCTGTACCTCAAAGTGGATCATGCAGGTGAAATAACATTTTTGAGGACTTCTGTTCAAGGTAATGCTGAAACTACCATTAACTTCCATACTGCACGGAATGCTATAGAACTGCACAATAGGTTAATGGTCAACCTGCAGAATATGATTTCAATGGAAAGCAAGACAACATACACACATATGCTCAATGTTCCAAAGTCCCAGTTCACTAGCCAAGCTGAATTAAGCAATGATATAAAAACAGTACTGGAAGCTGGACACGTCTCAGTTAGTTCCATTGGTAAAGGAAACTGGAAATGGAATACTCGTGATTACTCTGATGAAGGAACCCATGATTCTAATCTCAGTTTCAGTGTAGAAGGATCAGTGGCTGCATTTGTGGTAGAAAACAAGATCAATGATAAATACTTAAAGGTCAACCAAAGACTGGCATATGAATATACTTTACCGAGTTCTGCAAGTCTTCGGGTTAGTTCTAGAATTGAATCTCCACCACTGGGACGTAGCACTTTAAATCTACAAGGGACCCTGAATCTTGCAGAACTGAAAGTAGAACTGCAAGGTGCACATGAAGCTAAGCTGAGTGGACGTATCTCTGGAACTATAAGTAATGATGTAAACTTGTTGGTACAGCCCTTTGAAATTAGCACATCAACAAATAACGAAATGAATGTAAAAGTTAGCTTCCCACTGAAAATGGTTGGAAAAATTGAGGGTCTGAATAAGTATGGCTTGATCCTGAATCCTTCCACTCAAAAAATCAGCTGGATAGCTGAAGGAAGATTTAACCAATACAAATATGCCCATAATGTGTCTGCTAGTAACAATGATGATAGCATAGAAGCTTCTGTATCCATGAATGGTGATGCTAACTTGGAATTTCTCAACACCCCCCTATCAATTCCTCAACAAACTATCCCCTACGTTGACATCAAGACACCCCACGTGCAAGGTTATTCTCTGTGGGAGGAAACAGGGCTGAAGAATTTATTGAAGACCACAAAGCAATCATTTAGTTTAAACCTCAAAGCTCAGTACAAGAAGAACAAAGATGTACATTCTTTTGAAATTCCTTTAGATGGCGTGCACAGGGCACTCAATAACCATATTAAGTTCTTCAACACGCATTTTGAAAAAGGTAGGGACACCACCTTAGCTTTCCTTACAGCATCATATAACCAAGCCAAAGCCAACTTTGAGAAATACAAAGTGGATACTTCAGCCAGCCAAGCCCCACAGATGTTCAAGATCCGAGGGTACACCATTCCAGTGCTCAACATTGAGATTTCTCCTTTTACAGCAGAGCTCCCAGCTTTTGGCTATGTGATCCCAAAAGAAATGAGCACTCCAAGTTTCACTTTCCCATTCGTTGGAATGTCAGTGCCATCATACACATTTGTCCTTCCATCCCTGGAGCTTCCAGTTCTTCATATTCCTCATAGTCTGCAGACACTCAAACTTCCCAGTTATCGAGCACATCCCAGCTATGTCCATATGCCAGCACTTGGGAATTTTACCACCGAATTTTCATTTAAGTCTAGTGTGATTACCCTGAACACAAACGCTGGACTTTTTAATCAATCTGATATCATTGCTCGGTTGAGTTCATCCTCCTCTTCCGTGATTGATGCCTTGCAGTATAAATTGGATGGAACTGTCAGTCTCACAAGAAAGAGGGGTTTGAAGCTAGCAAGTGCATTATCCCTGAACAATAAATTTATTTATGAAAACCATGACAGTACTATCAGTCTCACAAGGAAAAACATAGAAGCTTCAGTAACAACTACAGCCAAAATCAATATTCCAGGCTTGTATGTGGGTTTTCAGCAGGAACTTAAAGGAAATGCTAAATCAAAACCAATCATCACTTCAACTATTAATCTAAATTATGAGTTGAATACTTTTCCTGCCTTTTGTAAAGGAGAAGTTGCCCACAAGGTCACTCTAGAAAGCATTTTATCTTACCTATCCATGGATACTTCAACCAAAGGTTCCATCAATGCAGAATTTCGCAAATCACATGCATTTTCTGGAACGCTAACTCATGAGGCAAATGCCTACATAAATGCTAAAACTGTTCGGTCTGCAGTCAAGTTTGAGACTAGTTCTGGTGTGGATGGAGTCTGGAATTTCGACACAAAAGAAAATGTTGCCATCGAAGCCTCTACCAGTCGTCTTTATGCAGTGTGGGAGCATGCAGGGGAAAATAATGTTCAGTATCATCTAATTGTTAATGGTAAAGGAAATCAGAACTGTAAAGTAACTTTTGAACTAGCTCCAGGAAGTATGTCAGCAGCTCTTCAAATGCAAGCTGCTCATCTACATTATTTATTTGGTGAGACTTCAGTTAACCATGCCATGTCCATGGTCAGCAATAATGAACATCAGAAAATTGACTGGAAGACTGAAGGCCAGTTCTATGATATCTTCCTTGGACATGATTTGCAGTTAGCAAATTACCAGACAGAAATTCGATTTGGCTTGTCAGAATCATTGGGGGGGCATCTGCATTTCCTCAAACACCCGCTGCCAGTTTATGAGAGGAGCCTATGGGACATCCTGAAACTGGATCTCACCACTCGTGCTGAAGATAGGCAGTACCTGAATGTATCAACAGCTATAGTGTATACAAAGAATGAAGATGGGTACTTTTTCCCCCTAAATGTGAACCAACTGGCAGATGGATTTACACTCACAATTCCTGAAATGGAGCTGAAAGTTCAGAATCCTGTCACAACACCAGAATTTAGCATTCCCTTTACAACTTTGCAAGTCCCATCTTACACTGTGGACCTACGTGAGATTAAAGTCCCCAAAAACCTGACCACAATACCATTTGACATTAAATTTCCTTCACTGCCAGTAGTAAAGTTTCCCAAGCTGGATGTACTAACCAGCTATGAAGAATATAAAATTCCCTACTTGGAGTTCACTCTACCCAAACATCTATTAACAGTATCAGAGTTCACTCTTCCGAAGACCCTTTCTCTCAGCAATATGAATGTGGATCTCAGTGCCATAGCCAAAAAAATAGCCGACTTTGAACTGCCTACAATTACAATTCCTGAGCAGCAGGTTGAAATCCCAGGTTTCAAAATTGCTTTGCCTGCTGGAATTTACTTTCCGAAATTTGGAGCTTTGGCTTGTTCTTTCAAGCTTGATTCCCCAATTTACAATAGCACCTGGAACACAGAACTAAAGAACAACAAGGGATCTTTCCAACATTCCATCGATTTGACTGCAAGTTCACCTCTGCAATTTCTGGAGTATGATCTAGATGGTAAGATTACTATTCCCTCAATTTTATTCTTTCAACTTTGGGTCAAGCATAGTGGCCTGGATGCTAAAATAAGTCTATGAAAGAAAGCATTCCAGTTTCACCTGCCCCCTTCCAAAGCCTCTCTGGGAACAGAAGTGTTTTCAACCAGTCTGGGGTGCTTTCCTCTCCCTCAGCAGGCTCGGCATTTTTCATGAGCTCCCTCCTTACCATGCTCCCCACACAAGAGCATGGACAGCTGCAAGGTGATGAGGAATCAGGATCCTCATCTTTCTAGGATCCAAACCACTGCATTTTATACCAAACCTTCTGCATTTTATATTTCAGAAGAGAAAATGCATTGTTTTATCTGGGCAGTAATAATACTTAAAGTTTATATAGCATTTCTTTCAAAGAGCACAAACAAACTACCTAGATAGCGTGCGGCAAGGTGTGTTGGCCCCACTTCCAGTGTCCCTGTGCCGACACCTCCCCTCCACGCCCAACCTTTTCTTGCTGCACATGATAGCTCAGTGCCAGGCTGTGCTCAGAGCCGCCTCCAGCACCAGGAACCTCATGCAATCGTGGCACTTGAGTATGGAAAGGTTTCTAAGAGCATCCAGCCAATGTTTGGGATGGAGCAGGTAGTGCTGGCATGCTTGGTGCCATGTAGCACCATGTAGGGTAGGGACAATCCCTTTTGCAATCGCAGCCACGGACTTCCTTTTGGGCCCCGTCCAGTCCCGCAAAGCAAACTGAGCTGGGAGGAAGCCTGCAAATGCCTGTGGACCCCGGGTTATGCAACCAGCAACCTTCCCTGTCAGGAGTGGCTGCAAGAAGTGTGTTGCAAGCAGGCATGCCAGGCGCCATTCCTGGTGACGAACCCCCACTGCAAGAGCAGCACTGCTTGCGCAGCATGTGGGACTTGCTTCCTGGGGAGTGCCCCATGAACTCAGGGTGCATTTCCCAGGCCACCACAAAGCAGATGGGCTCGACAGAGCCAAGCCCAGGGAATCCAACAGGTTCCCACCCCTTTTTGGATTCCTCGCCATTTCCTAGCGCCATGTCCAGAGGACATGCTTCTGGAATCCTGCGTGCATCTATATGTGGTCGACATCATTCATGAAACATTGTTGAGTGGGGGGCAGGACCAAGGAGGAAAAGCAGGCCATCCAGGTAGCATATGGCGGATGGGAGATGTGCAGGGTGTCTTCTAAATCACAGTTCCATCCTTGCAAGCTACTGGCCCTCCAGGATGGTGACAGCAGCTGCTTTCAGACATAGGGAAGCAGTGGCAAAACTGCTCCATGCAGTGCAGGGAATATTGGCACACCAAGTGAAGTCTGGATTATATGGCCATGGAGGTGGAGGCTCTCAGTGCAGGCAGTCTCTCCTGGCATTCAAACGCCACCTATGTGAAACTTCTTTCTAGGTGTGGCCACCTACAGGTATGAAGACGACCGCTTCACGATAAATACTCAAGGCTCCTTTGCACATCGTGACCTGAGTGCTGCTTACAAGGAAGACTTTGTTCTGCAACTAGATAGGTAAAGACTCTCGTGTCGGTCAATCAAATGGCAAACTGTATGCCAGAATCTGTAAGAGGAAACCTGATGGATGGAGCTGGGCTGTGAAATGGGCGCTTGCCCTCTTCCCTGGGGTGCTCCTGAGCACCGCCACACAAGCAAGGGGGACAAGGGGAGGGAGGCATGTCTGAAAGAGCCACTCCTCTCAGAAGTGGCTCTTTGCTTTGCCATTGGGAAGTGAGGCCCATGTGCAGCTTCCACCACCATCTTTCTGGCAGTGCCCCCCCCACCATGGACTCCCACCCACCAATGGAGGTACACCACCCACAGTCAGTCATCCCATCTGGGACAACTGCCAAAACTTGTCTTTCATGGCATGCCTTTCAGTTACAGGCCTTTGGCTGTGGCAGCTTTAAATGCTGCCTCCTTCCTTGCAGTCGATTCTCCCCCATATTGATCCAATTTTGATGTTGAGCTCCACGAGCTCATGTGATAAAAATGTATGAATGCTGTGAAATACTGGGCACAGTCCTATGCATGTTCAGACAGAACAGAGTCCTACAGGACTTCCCAGTCAGCTAGCCAAGAAATGCTGGGCAATGTAAGGTTTTTTCTGACTAAACATGCATAAATAGGATTGCACCCTCAATTAACCTAATGTATAAGATGCCTCTGCGCTCAAAGGTTGATCCTTTGAACAGACTTTGCAGATTCAACAGGAATAACCCACTTCTACCTCCTGCTGCAACAACAGAATACTTAATACAGGAGTGTGAGGTAGAAGCCACTTGCATTAGTTTTAATTGTTTAAAATTATATATGGAGTGTTTCCATCTATCCTCTTTAATAGTCCAAGGTCAAGGTGATGTTAGTTAGCCTGGTCATTCTACATAATATTTGTGGAATGTGTTTAGTATTATATTTATTTGTTTATGCATAAATTTAGACCCTGCTCTTCACCCCAAAGGATTCCAGAAGTGACTAATAAAAGCAATCAGATAAAACTAATCCAAGATTGCTTCAAATTGTGGCTTTAGGCTTTCTGTACAAGCTGGGGCACCCAATTTTTGTCTATATACCCTACCCACTGAAACTTCTATGCCACCCACAAAGTTGCTCTTGAGGACTGGAAAACCTGCCAGAACAATATGGGATTTGTCAGAGGGTTGCAGTAGGTAGAGGAGATTGATGAAAATTGGGTACCTTGTTAGAGAACTGCTTTCTGCTAGTGCAGAACCTCCACTGAATACAACCAAACAACAACAGGAAAGCCAGTTAAGCATAAAGACCAAGAAAAATCAACAACACCTATAAAAAAAAACCCTTCCAGAAGGCCTTGGCAAATAAGGTGCCCCAAATACATCAAATTCAAGGCAGTCCTTTCTGGAGAGGGCATTCCAAAGAAAATTAGTTTTGTTCAGAAGTTTGTGATATACAGATACAGTTTTTCACTGTAACCATCAGCATATTATTTATCCCTTATCTGATTTTTTGTGTGGCTTCTTTAGAATCTTTGACCACACGGCATCTCTGGACATCACCAGCCCAACCTTCACTGATATGCAAGTGCGTTTCCAGGCAGATAACTCAAAGTTTGTGACATCGGTTTCTTCTTCTTCTGCTGGCACCCTGGGCTTTCAGATCAACCAGGACACCGATGTTCTCGGAAGCAAGATCTATTACCGGACTCAGGTAGGGAAGTCAGAACTTAGACTATGTGCCCTTGCTTAAGTACCATGGCCTGGATGCAGGCTAAGTCAGCAGAATGTTCTTCCTATTGAAATCAATGGGATTTAAGTCACAATCAAGTCAACTTGTCTGCTGGACTCACTGCTTACTCCTCCTCCAGTCAAGCATATCTCATGGCAATGCTAAAGCATTGTTACTTAAAGCCGGGGGAGAAGAACTTGCCCTTCTAAGGCTAGCCTAGCCAGTGGTCACGCCAACTAGTCTAGCTGCTCCCACATGTTCTGTCCTGTCAGTCATTCAGTTGTTTGCAATGCATAGTCTACTCAAAAGTCTCACCTGGGTAAGAGAAAGTGGATGTATTGAGAGAGGGCAAATGGATATAAATGGGAGATTGGAGAAAGTTGATGCCTTAAGGAAAAGCAGATGGATAGAGATCTATAGGTATATCTCTATATACTGAATATTTGAATGACTCTCCAGTTATTGGCTTGATCTCATGATTCGGGGTGTTGACACACCATTAGCTGGTAAGGCTCCACCACCTGCGCAAAGCACCACTCAACGAAATAGTGACCCCCTCAGGCAGTCAACTGGCGTTGTAGTATAACTTTTCCTCTACCTCCCTGTGCAATGCACCTCTCCTTATATAAGGGATTATGGCCATCGAATGTGGGTAGAAAAGCAACACGGCATGCCACATCCCAAGGCCAACTGGAATGCCCCAGAATATCATACCCCAGCAGTGCTGTCAGTTATCCTGTAGACACAGATGCCCCTGGGAGAGAAGGCGCACCCATCCTTTCCCCCACAGAAGAAACGGTGACTCCTTTTCAATTGGTGTAGGCGGAGCCACACTTGGTAGCTACTCCAAATGATACTGTTTGCTAAGTGCCACATTAATGTGGGAACTGGGCTGGACAGACTTTGATATGAGCACAAATGGAAGTGGCATGCAGCAAATTTAGACTAGTCCATCAAGCAGGTTGGTGTGGATGCATTTTTAGGCATTAGCCCAAAGCTACATGGGGATGTAAAATGTGCTATATAAAATAATGAAATAGCAACCATAATAATGGTGCCCAGGAATGATTTCACCCACCTACAACATTTTAATGTGCATTACTTTTTATTCCACAGTCCTTCAGGAGACTGTAAATTCAGACAAATCATTAAACAAATTATTTAATCTAATAGTTAATGTCTTGCTTTTATAACAAAGCTGAATTTTTTTAGCTAATGAAGCTAATATTTACTTCCTATTAATGTACTTTACATTTGCAGTCTGACCCCCAGAAGGATGTTGATGTCTTCAAAAGTGAGATATCATTCAAAAATCCTGAAATGATTCAAGTCAAAACCAATTGGGAAGAGAATGGTGCCATGGACCTACTCAAAGGTCTAAAAGAAAAAGGGCCTAGGATGGCTGATGCTTTGTATCACGCTGTTAATAAGTACCACCAGGAGCATACAGGGATGGCGATCAGTACAGCTACATCAAAGCTGAAGGACAACTTGAAAGATAGTGTTGACACAGCTTACAGAAGAACTTTGGACAATATCAATGAAGTGGAACAGCAGCTTCGTGTAATGAGTGATGAGGCCACGGGGAAATATGAAGTTATGAGGAAGAAAGCCAGAAAGCTGTATCGTGAGCTTGCAGACCAAGCTGATCAAATAACTTATGACCAAATCAGAGGCTTGTATTCTAATTCCACAATGAAAGCGATAGGAGAATACCATGAAAGGATGAACCATTTTATTGACTCTTCTTTTGAATACTTCATGACAACAAGATTCCAGGTGCCAGGAGTTGATGGAAAGCACACTGGTGAAGAACTTTATGTGATGGCCACTAAAAACTTCGCCAAAGTTGCAGACCTCTGCATCACAAAATTGCAGGAATATCTTAATGCTTTGATTGAATTTTTCACTGAGGTAGAGGTTAAAATTCCAGTTTTCAATGAGGTTATTAGGGGTAGTGTTATACTTGATGAAATTAAAACATTTCTAGCACATATGCAAAACAAAGTCAGTCAGATATTTGTTGAACTGCAAGAGTTTGACTTTTCACAACACATAAAAAACCTAAAAGTTGTAGTTCAACAAGCCTTTCAAGCATTAGAAGAGTTGATCAGAAATTTACAATCCCAAAACTATGACTATGTAAAAGACCAGGCCAAACAACTGTCCACAAAGTTTTTACAAGCACTGAAAAGCTTAGCAGAAGATGCAAAATATTTGGCTCCTCGTGTTGAAAACTTCATGCAAAATTATGTGTGGAGTATCTCCAGTAAGCTAGAAGAATTTTTGCATACAGTGAAAGAGCTAAGGAAGCAATATATTGACTCAGGCATAGCTGGATGGTCTGAAAAATATTTTGAAATGGAAGAGCAGTTCTTAGCTTGGCTGAAGAGCTTTTTCAATGCTGTAATAGAGTGGCACACCAAATGTGTTAATGATGCTGCTGAGCTGGTTGCTCATCTGACAGAAAAAGCAAAAGAATTTGTGGAGAACAATGGAAAAATCACAGGGCTCTCTAAGATGGCTTCTGAAAAGATCCAGTATTGGTCTGAAGAGGCTAAGAAGAGTGCTGCTATACAAAAAGAACAGTTGAAGGATATCATACAGGAGGCATTTGAGCAACTTTCCAATTATTATGCACAGCTTCTCAGTGAGTCCAAAAACTTGATTGACCTGGTAATAAACCAATTTATTACATTCTTGCAGTATCTCCAAAAGGTTGTTTATGCGTTTGATCAATCAACAGCTGATATTCTTAGGCCCTATGTAGCTGTTCGCCAAGGAGAGCTCAGAATAGACATACCAAAGCCATTTGCTTTGCCACCTGTTAACTCCATTTCTCAAATGGCCCAGTTAAGTAAGGAAAATCCCCAAAAGAAACATACTGATTCGGCAAAGCATTGACTGGTCGTCCAAGAAGTGGAAAGAGTGAAAGATTCACTAAGGAGCAGGTCTGCACTGTACAACTGACCATGTAACAGATCAAGCAAAATATACCAAAGTGGCTGCAGTCTTGACTGGACAGACAAGAAGAATGGTTATGCAAGTTTTGTCATGCCATATTTAAATCCAGCAGCAATCACTGTTTTGAGAACATCAGCAAGCTATTCATTTGAATTTTGGCATTTGTAAATGAAAACTGAATAATCTGCAGGTTAGTTTAATGCTCTGCAAAAGCCAATAAATGAAATCTTCATGCCATTTCAGTGTCCTTTATTAAAACCACTTTTCTTGTAAGATTGAGACTGTGATCCACTTTTCGTTATAGGGAGTCTGTACCGTGACTCCAGAGGTTATACAGCCAGCCCTGTTGTAGCACAATAATGCCTGTAAACAGTCTTAGTGAATGTTCAGAACCGTATGGAGTAAGGGCAGTTGATAAGGTAAAGGTCAGCCTAAGCAAAATAATGTGAATTAGAAATAATTTTGAAGGGGGACATGATAACTATAGCTGTATATACTTGTGTAATAAAGCAGGGAAAAGGAGCTGGCGTGCAAGTGTTGGGTTGGAATCTATGCATTCTACATGAAACAGAAAAGGATAAGAACAAAGACCTCGGTGGTCAAATTAATCTGCCTACACGTAAAAATAGAATGCTTCTATTTCTGCCCACTGTCATGGGTCAAGCACTATACATGTACAAATAATTTCATTTTCCTTGTCAACCAAGCTAGTATTTTCTATGCTTTGCAGCTCTTGTTTATATATTTTCAATTTCATTGTGAAACGTATCATTTTTCATCCAATCCAAAGTCAGCCACTGTTCATCCAAGGTTGCCAACTCCATTTTCTGCAGCGTGGCTGTTGTGCTTCTGTCTTTGCTGTAACGGTTCCACACAGATGGGAAAAGTTCAGCAGCTGCAATCTTGGAGGAGTGGACTCTCTCTACTGCTCAGCTTTTAAAGATGCAGGATCCATCTTTGGGCAACCCATTACTGACAAGATTGAAATTTGAGATTTCTGAGAGCAAACTATCTGGGCTACATAATTTATTTGGTTTTATATTTTGCAGCTGGAATGCTATGTACATATTAGAATTCCTTTGAATGGGCTTCCTTCCCAATTAGCTTCCTTTCTTGCTTCTAGCAGAATAAACTCATGTTTTCAGTATTAGTAGAAATGTTGTATGTATCTGTCTTAATTAAACTATTCACTCTAGGTGTTTGTCTGTTTTGTTACTTTGCTCATTTGAGAATAAGGATTTGTTGTATTTGGGCCGGTTTGCTCTGAATGTTAAACCAGGATTTAATGGCATGTACACAGGCAGGCCCGATCCCATGGGAAATGCCAGGCTTACACACTCCCATTGCCTTCACTTCCTCCTGTACAATGGAAGACTGAGTTTCACTTTAGCAAATTCCTGAAATCCAAATTCAGTTTCACTTTAGCAGATCCCTAGTTGTGGTTTCAAAGAAACTAGCTTTCTAAACAAATCTGAATAAAGATGTACTTTACCCTTGATTGGGGCAACTCTGAAACCACAGTTCCTGGTTTGCATGTAGTGAAAGGCTAGGAATCCATTAAAATGAGACTAAGTCCTAGTTGATTTCTCTTCCCAGCTGCATGGGAGGTGGGGGCAGAGAAGAGCACATGTAAGCCTCACACTTTGCACATGCACTGTCCTACTCGTTCAGGTAAATGCCAAATCCTGGCTTTGTGCTACCAGCAAATCAGGAGATTAGGTTGTTTTGCATCGTATTTTTCTTATTTTCCATTTACCAAACTATTTTAGCATATGGATATAGATTAGATTCTCTACAAAGCAATTTTGCAAATATATGTAACCGTATTCAAAGTCTTCTTTCTCATAGGACTCCCCAGGGCTTTTTTTGTCATGGAACGCACTGGAACAGCGTTCCGGCACCCTTTTTTCCAATGGATTTTATGAAGTGATTTTGAATCATAGCAGATCAGCAGCAAACATCATTAACATAGTGCATGGGGGCTGCTTTTGTGTCTGCTATCTGCGATCTGATAGTGAGATAGTGAGGGCTTGGGACACTGCTCCGCTTGGGATTGGGGTGTGTGGTTGTGCGCTTACTGCCGGCGACGTGCGTTCCGGCATCTTTTTTTTTTTTTTTTACAAAAAAAGCACTGGGACTCCCATCTTTGGAAAACTGTGATTATTATTAGAAACACAGAGTTTGGCAGAGTAACCAAATAATTTCAGGAACAGCCAAATCACAAACACATTCCCAACTCCACCCTATCATGATTTTTGAGATTTATTTGTAGGGTCAGATCCTGAGTCCACATGTGTCAAACTCTGCTCACACTGCTGGAACAGAGGTAGAGATGATTTCTACCAATCCCTTCTTCTCCCATTTTGGTCCTAACGTGATTTCTGTCAGTTCCTTCCTCTCGTGTATTGCCCTGAAAAACTGCTTTGGAGGTGAGCTGGGCATTCCCTAGAACAGCATGGAAAACTTTATTTTTTCATACTAGTAATTTTTATTTTTACAATCTTTCAACAGAAATGAGCATCAGAAAAAAAAACACTAGGAACACAAAACGAGAGTGGAACTACAAGCACATACACAGAAAAAAGTGGCGGGGGGGGGGAACAAAACGGAACAAAAAGATACATGAGGAATTTCTTGTGTGCTTGTGATTCCTCACTCACAGAAGCTTGGAGTTCATCGCATCATCTCCCAGGGCCTCTCCCATGTTTTGCAGCCACCTTTTTGCATCTTTTCTTAAAGTAAGGAAAAGGTGGTATTTTCCAGGATGCCACCATTATTTGGTACAGAGGCCTAGTGTATTTTTACAGTGCCTCACTATACTGCAATACCACCATGGGTTGTGTGATGGAAGGAATAAGAATATATACTGAAAGGCAGTAAAATCCCTTGATGGAAAAAAAGCTTTATTATAAGGGCACATGAGTCCTTCTGAAGAGAAAAGGGAGGAAAAAGGGCCTTGGTAAAGGTAAAGCACTGAGGTAGTAAAGCCTTTACCGTGAGGGGCTACATGGAGAAAGGGAGGCAGAGAACATTGCCATTTATGAACAGGACACTGGCATCAACCCATAGTATTTATTTGAAAAGAAAGGAGAGCCTATTAACTTAAAATAATGCAGAAAATTAACTGGTGGTTCCAGGTTAGGGTTAGGGTTGCCCTTGGCCTTCCTATAGCAATATTTACTTACTTACTTACTCACTTACTTACTTAATAAACCATGCCTGTAGCCCTCCATGAGCTCTCTGGGCGGTGTACAGTTCCATTATAAAATCAACAATAAAATAGATGAAGTCCACAAAATAATGCAATATGGACAGCTCCATAGATTGAACTAAAGATTATACAGGTATAGTAGCATACGATCATCAATGAAAATTCACTGCACACACACACCATTTCATTTCATAGCAATAAAAATAAAAATAAATACTGAAGACCCAAAGTCTTATTTGGCGTATCTGTCAGGCGTATAAGGGGTAACTCACCTTTCAGTTTACCTAAACGCAACATAAACCCTTCCAAGAGCTTATCAAACAGCTGAGGTTGAAATGTCAAACAAGCTCCGGGTGTGCGCACAACTCTTTGTGTTGTGCTAAACCGTGTTTCTTTATATGCTGCTTTCCCAGTGGGATCCACATCCCAAGTGGGTGACAGAAAGCATCAAGTCAAAATAAAAAACACTATCCTAGTTGATCACAACTGGCGGGAGATGTCAACAAATTCAGAGAGGTCAAAAGCAAGTATTTAAAAGGCCTATCATGATGTATTGAACATTGCAATTAAATCCAGACTGAATGAAGATTTAAAAATGCTCTATAAAAGCAACATCAAGATTGTGTGCTGCCTGCACTGCAAGGGATCACAACCACCACATTTTTAAATCCTGTTTCAGACCTTGGGTCTTCTCACTTGGCTGGGTGGCTCACAGCTGAGCCACACTCCAAAGAGACCCAGCCAGTAGAAAAAAAAACAATACTAGGATGTGCTGCTGACGTTCCCCTGGCCTTTGGATGGACTGCTACTGGTCGCCTTCCTGTGATCTAAGAGGCCACAGCAACCTGGTCACATAATATTGTTATGATTTCATTGCAATTATACCCTGCTTTTTTTCCTCTTGAGAGGAACCCAAGGCAGCTTGCATAGCTCCATTTTATCCTCACAACAACCCTTAACCTGTGAGGTAGGCTAGTCTGAGAAAGAGTGACTGGCCCAAAAGTCACTCAGTGAGGTCCCTGGCTGACTGGGGCCTAGAATCCAGTTCTCCTCAGTCCCAGTCCAACATTTGAACCACTACACCATTCCAGTTCATGCTTTGTTGGATTGTGGCCTCAGGTGACAGAGGAGGAGGTTAAGTGTTGTTGCTGTTTTAGTTTTCTTATTTAAATTGCATTCCTTTAATTGAAGAATCCTCCTATGTGATGTTCATATGATGAAAGAGAAGGTCAGGAGAGTAAATCAGAGTCATGGCCTTCAGTACAGTCAAGTTTAAGATCCTTGGGCTTTCTTGTTTGTATCACTTCTATTTTCAACAATAGCACTTACAAGCTATAGGAAGCTGAAGGGAGGGGATGTGTTAGAGTAAGAACTTTGAAATAATGTTCTAGAAGAGCAAGTTGGTAGAACAACATATGTGCAAATTACAATATTGAATATGAACCAGGGGGATTTCAGTTTCACCACTTTGCAGGATGTGGGTTGAAGAACAATGCTAGTATATTGTTGTCCTTTCACTCATGGTTCTTTTGTTCCAACTCAGCCCTACAGAGTGTAGAAAGTCAGCTTTAGGGCCCAGACTTGAAGGATCTGAACACACTGTGCTTTGGAAAAGGCTATAGGTGGTTTCAGTCAGGCCCCCTCCAGATGTGTTGGACTACAAATCCCAACATCCTAAAGAGAGAGAGAACAGTTGTGCTTGAAAGAATGGTTATGTGTGCATGTATGTATTTATATAAGTTGATACTGATTTATTATATTTAGATTCCAACACATTTTTCTGCAAGGAATCCCTGACAGCTCACCTAACCATCCTCTTCTTCCTCTCTATTCTGACCTCACAAGAACCTGCTAAAAGCCAGCGGCTGGTCCAGAGTCAGCAAATGAGTTTCACGACCAAGTGGGGATTAGAACTTGGATCTCCCAAGACCTGGTCCAGTTCTCTAACCACTATACCACGCTATCTCTCTGGTATAAAACAAAGAGAGAGGAATGCATAAGAAAGGTAAGAAAGAGGTGGGGGGGGGCAAAAATACAGAGTAACTCTATCCCCTTCTCCTTTATTTATTTATTTAAAACTTTTCTAGACCGTCCCTTACTGAAGTCTCTGGACAGTTTAACAATACAACGATGTAAAATAAAACACAGCATCCTGAAAAATTCTACTGACAATAAAACCCCAATTAAAACAATCAGATCTTTAAACATTGGGAAAATAAAAAGGTTTTAGCTCAGCAGCGAAAAGAATAAAGTGATGGCACCTGGTGAACCTCTCTGGGGAGTGAATTCCACAATTGGGGCACCACCTCAGAGAAGGCCCTTCCCTGGGTAGTTACCCTCCTAATCTCCTTCAGGGAGGACACCGGAAGAAGGACGTCTGCCCCAGACCTTAAGGGGTGGGCCGGCACATATGTTTTGGGCCAACCCCCTGAAGAATGTAGCCTCTTACCACTTAAGCCTGAAGAAATATGACCCTCAAGATTTCCCACCCCTTGTTCAGTTGATAACTGCCATGATTCATTGATTAAAATGTTTTGGTTGGTTAATAAAAAGTGATCTAGGGTGACATTAAAATGAAACACCAAATACTTATAAAAACTGCTGATGACACACATCATATTACAAGTCTGATGGAGAAGAAAAATGTCTCTTCTGGGACAATGCTTGCTGTCATGCAGGTGTTATCATCTGTAATTTGAGAAGATTAAAAGGTGTTTTATTTATTTTGACCCAGGTGGAGAATCTGAGAACTTCCAGATGTGGTTGGACTCCAGATCTCATCAATGGTAATCCAGTAACATCTATAAATCTAACATCTAAGAGGTTCCCCACCACTGCTTTACCACTATGTTTGCATGCCAAGTGTATGCTGCGTAGGTAGATCAGACAACTAAATTCATGGAAGAAATCGACTAAGATTTCCTTAGACAGATACAATTCTAGTTTTTTGATCGCTCCTAGTTGAACCCCCCACTATATTAATT